CCAGCTGCCCCCCCCCGCCCCACCTCATATTGCCCTAGGTGAGCCCTGCTCTTCCAACTGCCCCTTTTCCCCAGGATAAGGTGCGAGGCTTTTGAGTGGGCTCCTGCGAGGTTCTGTCCTCGAGGGGAATATGGCGGGGTACCAGGTTGTGGCCTGAATCACAGGATTCCCACCCAGTGAGGATGAGTAGGTGGGTGGTGGCTCAGATAACTGTAGAAGGTTGAGTGCATTGTCCTTGGAAGGTCTCTGCTGTTGCCTTTTGCAGGCACTCAGTGCCTGGGTGACTTGAACCTTGTTGCCCAGGAGTGCCCTGTGCGGACTGAATGCTCCTCCTGCTGCTTGGCTGGTCCGATAGCTATGGGGTGTGAACTCCCCAAGCTGATCCGCAGTGCCTCCAAGGGTCTGTCCTCAAAGGAGGGAGCCAAGCTAGCTGGAAAGGACTTCCTGCCCTTGATAGCACGGGGCGAGGAGCCCTGGGGGACATCGCCTCTCCCGGCTTCCATGTCTGAGCACTGCCACTATGCTGAGTTCTCTCATGCACACACAGCACCTTTAGAGGGGGTGTAACTATTGTTTCCATTTTGTGGGGGAGAATACTGAGGCTCAGGGAAGAGAAATTGCTGGTTTAAAATCACCTCATTACCAAGAGGCAGGATCAGGAGTCCTGCCTGGGCAAATCTGATGCCCACATCTGTGTCTCCAGTCTCCTCCTCATCTCCTCTGCGGAGGCAAGTTAGGAGGGAGGTGTGACTGAGTGCCTTTCCATCTGATGCAAAGGGGGAGACCTTGGGGAGAAACTGAGGCATTACACTGGGGTAGTCTAGAGAGGTGGTGGATCGAGGTATTCCCTTCCGGATGTCGGCTTGCAGAGTGACACTGCCTCTCACGACAGACGATGCTCTAGACATCCTTTGCCAGATGGTCTTTTCCAGGAAAATCTGTTTTGAGCAGTATCTTATGTCTGAGGCTCCATATTTAGCCTGGCTCCTCACACGGGAGGATATACTCAGGCTGTCACCCCTCGAGGGATGTTTTGGGGGGAGGGTAGGCCCTGGCCAGATTTGGCTCCTTGCCACAGCTCAGACAGAGGTAGGGTAGGGCCTGTGTTCCTGTTAGGCTGGCCCTGCTGGTCTCCCTCCTGGCTGGCTGTTGGCTGCTCCGCTCACAGATAAGTTGGCTTCTGTGGGCCTGGCCCCCTGCAGGTGGCAAGTCATCAGGGCAGGGACTCCGGGGCTGCCTGGACCTGGGTACCCGCGGCTGCCAGCCCAGGGGAGGCCCACAGCCGGCTTGTCCTCTCCTCTGACCCCTGTGCCTGCAGCCCTGCCCTGTCTCCCTCCATGGCCCCTCCCACTCTTTGTCTTGTCAAATCTAATGGTACAATGAACACCCCCCTATCTGCCCTCCCACTAGAGAGTGGAGCTGCCAATTGTTGACGTTCCACCACACTTGTTTCTCTGGCTCTGAACCTTTTGAAAGAAAGTTGTAGGTATCACAACCTCTAAGTACTTCAGCCTGGATTTCCTGAGACAAGGACGTTTTTCTACATAATGACTCTCCTGTTAGCATACCCGAGGAATACAGCAATGATGCAGTTTAGCCTAATATGTAATCCACATCATATTTCTCTAGTTGTCCCAGTAATGTCCTTTATAACTGTTTAAAAATTATTTGGATCAAGGATCACACATAGCATGTGATTAGATCTCTCTTGTCTCCTTTAATCTGGAACAATCCTTCTGCCCCCCCCCCCTTTTAAAATCTTTTATGACATTGTCAGTTTTAAAGAGCCTGGTCAGTCATCTTGCAGAATGCCCCACATTCTGGATTTGCCTTATTGCTTCTCTTGAGGAGATTCAGGTTAAACATTTTTGGCAAGAATATTCCCTAGGTGATGTGTCCTCAGCGCGTCCCCGCAGCGGACACCAGTTGTCAGCTCGTCCTATAATAGGTGGTGCTAACAAAGGTAAGGCGCCCCTTTGTTTCAGTGCCATTCCTCGCTCTTCCCACCTCCAGAAGTTTCATCCACTTGGCCATCCACGCACGAGGGCCGTAAAACTGCCTGAGCCCCTTCCTAAGCCCGCATGCTGAGAGGGCTGGATTAGCAGACTTCAGGGGCCTGGGGTGGGGCGCTCACAGCCTCGGGGGTGTGGGTCGGTGCGACTCAGTGCAGGCAGGTGCCATGGTGGGGAGGGAAGAGGCCCAGGGCAAGTGGTGAGGGGCCTAAGACAGGGGGAGGGGAAGAAAGAGGTGGGTTCAAACCAGAATGTGGGCCAGCTCGTGGCCTAGGGGCGTGATGGAGCAGGTATAAGTGTTGGACGAGGCCTGTGAGGAGGATGGGATGGGACTGGCTGGCTCACATGGCACTAAAGGCCAGTCAGGGGGCCCTGGTGTGGTTGAGCACTGTGGCACTGGGTTTGGGGCTGCCGAGTGTAGGCATCGGGTTATGGGGTGTGGTGGCCCCGTGGCCCGGGGCGTGGTCGCCATGGGATGGAGAGCAGAGGACAGAGTAAGGAGAGATGGGAGGCTGGAAGGGTGGTGCTGGCGTCTGACTGGAGGGTGGGAAGGCTGGTGGCGGATGCAGCTTTGAATTTGTGAGATCTAAGGGGCCTTTCAGGTCAGAAGAGCAGCGCGGGGAGCTCATTTCCAGGGTGTTGGTTGCCGCCGTGGCCGTCCCCTCCGAGACTCCTTTTGGGAGAGGGCAGAGGGACGGCCACACGTGGCCCGCGGCAGGGGAGGGATGGCGAGCTCTTAAGGCGCTGGCCCTAGGGAGGCTGGGAGCAGGGCCAGCAGCGTCAGAGGCAGCCACCCCTTGCAGACCACCCCCCAATCCCTTACATCATTCTGCTTCTTCGCACTTGCTTGGCAAAACCCCAGCCCTGGTTAAATCTAACACCCTGCTCCCTCCACATCTGCACCTGTGTAGCCTAACGGGACTGAGAAAAGCCACCCCCGACTGCTCTCACCTTAAGTTCAAAACTGTCAAGCTCAGGCGGGTCCTTAGTGCTGTCTGCTAGTCCCACCAGTCCTGAGTCACCCCCTCAGCCCTGCCGTGTGACCAGTTCACGCTTTCTCTTCTCTCAACCCTCGCTCCTCCTTATCTTCAGCCACTGCTGATGACATCGCTTCCTGCTTCTTTTTTTTTTTTTAAATTTTTTTTAAATTTTTTTTATATAGAGGCATGCTATTTATTTATTTATTTATTTGTTTGTTTGTTTGTTTTGTTTATACATGCACTGGGTACAGTCAGAAGCCGGGAGGGTGAGAGAATTCACCAGAGCCAGAGCGGGGAGCAGAGCAGGCAGAAGGACCGAAGTACACTGCTGAGGGGAGCAGCGGGCGGCAGGAGAGGTCTGCGCGCCATGCGGGACCCTCCTCCGGTGGCCGGGGAGCAGCCGGGGATTGAACCGGTGTCTCAGAGGCCGCAGGCAGCTTCGCAACCCAGCGCTCAACCGCTGTGCCACCGGGGAGGCCCGCTTCCTGCTTCTTTTAGAAAGGAGGAGCAACAGGAGCTTCAGCAGACCCCCAGCTGCCAGCACCTGCGCCCTGCTCGGCCTTCCTCCTGCCATGGGGTGGAGGCCGCCCTCTGCTGTGCTCTGGCCTGGCCCGTCACGCCTACTTTGGCCGGTGCCCCTCCTGCCTTGCAGCTCCCCCTTTTTTTGGATGTCCCACCTTGCTGTTGGTTCTCTTGTTGTTTTTCTTTTAAAGATTTATTTTATTTATACAAGAGCTGGGGTACAGGCCCGAGGCGTGGGAGGGTGAGAGGATTCACCAGAGACAGAGCAGGGAGCAGAACAGGCAGAAGGACCGAAGTACACTGCTGAGGGGAGCAGCGGGCGAGACAGGAGAGGTCTGCGCGCCATGTGGGAATCTCCCTGGCCGGCTGGAAATCGAACCCGCACTGCAGAGGCTGCAGACAGCTTCATAGCACTGTGCTCAACACGCTGCGCCACCGGGCGGGCCCGGTTCTCTTGTTTTAAAAAGGGGTTCCCTGTCTTCTCCGGGCTATGCCTCTCTCTATCCCCCTTTACAGCAAAACTCCCCAGAAAGGCTGTGTAGACTTTCTGTCTCCACGTCCTGTCCTCCACTGTCTCTCGACGCCACTCCAGGTGGGCCGTCACCCCCTACCACTTCTCTGACCTTCTAATATCTCCAGTCACATCCACGTTGCAACATCCGGTTGGTGATTTTCATCTTTATCTGAAGCATTTGACCCACTCAGTCTCTCCCTCTTCCTTGAAATACTTTCCTTGTTTCCAGGACAGCCATTCTCCTGTTTTCCTTCAACCACTTAACATCAAAGTGCTTCAGACTCAGCTCTCTCACGGCCGCCCTGCCTTATCTGTGCTTGCTCCTGCGCCAATCCCTGCCAGTCCTGAGGCTTTAAGTACCACCTCTGTTCTGTCAGCTCCCACATTTAGACCTAAACCTTGACCACTGTCTCAACCCTAATAGCCTTCTCAGCATCTCAACTTTCATGCCTGCCGGACACCTCAAATTTGACTTGTCTGAAGCCGAGCTCCTGAGTGGCCTCCCTAAATCTGCTCTGCCTGTCTCACCCTTCCCAGGAGGGGTGACTCCATCCTTCTGGGGCTATGGGTCCAAATGCTGGTGACTCCTGACTCCCCTGCCCTGCCCTAAGTGCTGTCTGTCAAAGGGTGAGGCTCTTGCCGGCACCCTGATCTCCCCTCAGTGGGCTAAGGTGAGCGGGAGGACAGTTTAAAGATGTGGACAGTGGGGTGCAAGCAGAGAGGCCCCCTGCAGCCCTTTTGACACGCCGCCCACCCTCAACCAGGAGCTGTGCTGAGACAGGAAGGGACCAGGAGAGGGAGGGGAGGACTCAGCTAGGAAGGTTTAGGAGCAGCTGCATAGTCAGGAGTCTGGGGAGAGGGTGGGAGGGAAGGTCACAGGGAGGAGGCAGAGAAGGAGAAGGGCTCCTCGTGGGCAGTGGACGGAGAGTGTGAGGATCTAGAGACTGGGGGGTTGGGGGGAGTTGGGTAGGGAAGGGAGGATGGAATTTCTTGGTTGACCACACTTGGTTGTTGAAACAGAGTGGGGGTAGGTGCCCAGGGTTGAGTCCTGGGGCACCCGGCCAGGGTCGGGCTGGTTGGGAGGACTAGTCTGTGGTGGCTCTTGGAGTTCAACTCTCAGGCCACAGGCTCATGGGTCAAATGTGACTCAAGAAACAGGGTGAGCCTCAGGTGCCCCTGAGGCTCCAGGAAGGCCGAGCAGGTGCGGTGGACATGAACTCCATTCACTGGGACACTCCATTCACCGGGACAGCCTCGCCTTCGGTGTCCCAAGCGACTGAGGGATCACCCTGCAGGGAGCCATGGGAGGAGGAACGCCAGCTGGAAACATCATTTGGGATTTGACAGCACAAGACAGTGAATTTCATTAGTTTTGAGAGCTCTCCACCTGGCATACAGATGTATATAAATGCCAAGCAAATGAGGGTGCCAAGTGGAGTGGCTGGGGGCTTGGGAGAGAAGCAAGCCAGGAGGTGTCAAGGCATGACCTTTGTAGTGCTGGGCCCAGGGGCCCCTGAATGTCCCAGCAGGCTTGGGGGCACATGCAGATATGATGCAAATGAACACCCAATCCCCCGGACCTTGCCTATCCAACTGGCCAAGAGACAAAGGAAGATTCTAGACCCCAAGGCAGTGCTGCTTCCACAGAGGCCAAAGAGAGGACGAAAGCAGAGCAGCGCTGGTTCCTTACTAGCCCCAAGTTGACATCACCCTTTAAGGATACTCGTGGCCCTGGCCCTTGCCTGGCGCCTGTGGGTTCTCGTGCCTTGCCGCGGAGAGACGGGAGTGAGCCCAGCTGGCGCTGCAGGTGCTCACCTGTCTGGAGTGGGCACTATCTCTGACCCACTTCCTGGTCCCTCCCGTCTTTTTCCTGCCTCCCCACTCAGACTGGACACCTGATAGGCTGCCAAGGTCAGCTGAGGGTCCTGCAAGGCTGCTGTTCTCCTGTGCAGTCCACCCCAGTGCAGGCGGGCAGCCCGCCTCCCTCACTGCACACACGCTTTCTCCTTTCGTCGTCCCTGCAGCCCTGTGAGGCAGATGGCGTTAGCACTCCTGGTTTCACAGAAGAAACTGAGGCTCAGAGAGGTGCGTGTGTTTGCTGCCCAGGGCGGCGGAGCTGGGATTTGAAGCCTCATCTTCCTGACTCTGTAGTGACCGCGCTGGCCCGCCGACCTGGACTGTGCCTGTCTGAGGCCCTTGTTGCTGCACAAGGTGGTCCAAGCTGGGAAGACCAAGTGGATTAGGAGGGCTTGGGGTTGCTTTGGGGTGTGGGGGCAGGGCAGCACCCAAGGCTCCTGGGTGGACTTCCCCTGCATGTCATCCTGGGAGAAAGTGCATGTCATCGTGGAGGAGGTGCATGCCCTGGGCCCAAGGGAGGTGTAGTGTAGAGCCCTGGGACCACGGGCAGGTCCCTACTCCCAGACTCCTTGACTGGCAGGGGCTGGGGGAGCTTGGTGAGTGTGTGACCCAGGGACCCCACCAAAGGGTCTTCCTGCCCACTGCCTGCTGCCATGCTGTCTGGGGCCTATGGGGTCATGGAGCGCCCAGCCTGGCCCAGCCAGTGTTAGCGGGTGGTGGGGGGCGCAGCTCACCAAGGTCTGTGCTCAGCACTTTCTGCACAGGAGCCCTTCTCATTGATATTATTTAACTGCCCTTGTGTGTGCTAGTGTGTGTGTGAGGATCTCAGCCCTTGTGCCAAATTCTGGGTGAGCTAGAGAGTTGGTCAGTGTAGGAATGTGGGGGAAGGAAGGGAGGGTCAATGATGGTCTTTAGGGTGGCTTCCCAGGGGGCAGGGAATAGGTCTGAGAATGAAAGGTCTGGGTTTCCTTGTCAAGAATCCCTCATGGAGCGTTCTCTGTCCAGGAGGTCTTTGGGTCTGTCTGGGTTGGGACAGTGGCTAAGGAGTCCATGAGTCTCTCAACAAGTACTCAAATGCTGTGCCCCAGTGTGAGAATCTGCCTGGGTCAGGATCCACAGCTCCACAGGTGCTCCGAGAGCCCTCAACTTGGAAACAGAAATTTTGGTGCACATGGGGCGATGAGGCCAGAGAGAGCTTTCATTAGCCCGAGCACCTCCACTCATTGGATGCAAAACTCAAGTATCCCAGCTCCCAAGTTCCTCCTGGGGACACCCGTGGTCTCAGCTCTGCCTCTATGCTGACATTCCAGAGCGATTTTCTCTGATCCTAGATCCCTTCACATACCGTGGCTGGGCTCTCAGCCCTCTTGGGCATCCCACAGGCTCTTAGCATGGACCCTCCCCCAGCTCTGCCTCCTGTGTCCTAGTGCACCAAATGGGCCTGTGCTCCCTCATCTCCCCTGCACGCACCCAGCTCCCTGATGCCACTGGGCATGACAGTGGGTGTGTCTTCACCACTTTCCCCAGCCCCAAGCACTGAGTGGTCCCTTTCTTACCCTGGCTTCCCCCAAAGCTGAGTGGTTTTAATCCCTACTTCAAACAGACCTTTCCTCTGGGCCTGGAGCCTCCTCTCTACCACCTCACCACCCAGGAGTGCTGCTTCATGACTGGCTCCTCCGCGTGGGTGTGTGTACGTGTTGCCTGCACCATGCGCTCCCTCGCAAGCAGCACACGGGCCCCACATCTGTGCATTCTCCCTCAAGCATGCTGGACCCTGGACACCTCCCTGTCGGACACCTTCCTCTTGCATCTTCCTCAGACACCCCACAGCCCCTGCCTAGGATCCCAGCATGGAAGCCCTGTAAGAGGTTATCTTTTGAATGATCCAGAATGCCAGCCATGCCACTGCCCAGCTTTGTGAGCCTGCGCCTCACCTCTGTCAACCTTTGCCTTCAGTGGGGACGATGATAATCTCCACATAATCTTTTCACCAAATATTTAAAAGGTGCCCACTGATTGTCAGGTGCTGTCCTAGGCTCTGGGGAGATGGCAGTGGATGTGACAGAGTTTCCACCCTCACTAAACATGCATTCTAGTGAGGGGGGCAGGAGATACTGAAACAATAGAAAAGGGTGTTTCAGTTCTGCCAAGTGATGCTCAGCAGATATGATTCTCCATGGAGCAATGAGTGGAGGGTGAGGAGGCCCTCTGATGAGGCACTGGAGAACTGAACACTGCATGACAGAAGAGGCAGTCATTTGGATATCCAGGGGAAGAGTGTTTTAGGCCAAGGGTACAGCTGGTGCAAAGGCCCTGAGGTGGGAGCGCGCTCAGGGAGCAGAAAGAAGGCCAGTGTGGCTCATGGGGTGGGGGTGGGGAGAAGACAGGGAACCAGCTCAGGCAGGGCCTTTCTAGGCCGTGCTGGGCAGACTGGATTCTAATGAACGGGTGACGGAAGCTGCTGGAGGGTTAATAGTGAGGGAGGGATATGATGCAATTGTGTTTTCACAGCTCACTTCAGCTGCCATGGGGATATTGGGGGGAGGGAGGGTTTTCTCAGGAGCAGCTGGGACCCAGAAAATTCCTGGCTTGGCATTCCGCCCTGGCCCAGCCAGGGTTCCACTATCATCATGGGCCTTATCTTGGTCGGTGCCAGAAAAGAGACTGCTGAGCTCAAGGTCACCCCAAGGGCAGTGGATAGCAGGAGTGCCTGCTTGGAGAGGAGACTGGCTCGGACTGAAAGGATGCAGGGGATCTTGGCCACAGCTCATCTGTCATTTGCAGGCCTCTCCTTGGGATGGGTACCTGGTGGCCCAGCTGTACCCCCCCACCCCGCTTTTATCAGGGCCAGAGGGGACAGGGTTCCTGCTTTGGGTAGCTTCTCCTGCTTGAAGGTTTGAGCCCTTGGTCTCGTGGGAGGGTCTGGCTGAGAGCCTGGGAAACTGGGGGTTGAATCTGCACCTCCAGGCCACCCAGGTGCAAAGGGAGGCTACTATTGAGTTCTGGAAGCAGTTTCTCTTTGTGTGACTCCAAGCAAAGCATTTCCTGCTTCTATGGCTCGTTTTCCTCACTTCTCTCAAATGTGCTGGTGAAAAAAAGGGGACCATAGCTGCCATTTTCTGACCTCTGCAGTGAGTTTGTTGGGTCTCAGCTCTTCCTGCATTCACAATCTGAAGTTTTCCTGCTAGCCCTGAGGAAGGGGGGCAGAGTTGTTATCCCTATTCTGCAGATGGGGGTAGCACCAGGGAATGTGGTGGTTTAGAGTGAGGACATAGGGCATTGTTTCACACCTCTGCCCTGAAGCCCCCTCCATGTACCCCTCTAATGGGCTCAGCAACAGAGGGGGTCCTGGATTAGCTATTTGTGGGCTCAGCTGGCCTTGGCCTAGCAGGGACTCTGGGCCCCCCGCCCAGAGTGGAACTCAATGCTGCCCCTTGTCTGTCCGCCCCCAGAAGCCGAGGACACGGCCCAGTGCCCGGTGTTGGCAGAACCTCCATTCTGCTCCCAGCTGCAGGAGGACCTGGCAGGGCAGGTAGGGTTGGAGCCAGCCGGAGGCAGCTGCTGGAAATTGGGGGTGGGTGGTGATGAGCTCCTAGAGGTACTTGATTTGTCCACAATCCTGGCTGTGGGGCCGGCATAGCCTGCACATCAGGTAAAACCATTTAATCTCTCAAAAGCTCTCAGGCTTCACAGGGAGCTCAGGCAGCACCCCTACCAGAGTGGGGGGGTATCTCACCCTGCTCGGCTCAGCTTCTGCGCTTGGGAGTGGGAGCTCCAGGCTCCGTAGTGGAGTGGGGTGAAGCCCTGCGCCTCAGATCCCGTGCCTATCCGGGCCCCAGGGCGAGAAAGCAGGCCAGAGGACTAGAACCTGGGCAGCAGGCCAGAGGCCCCACTCTCCCTCCTCTTTCTTTTCTAAATGCTCCCCCACTCCCAAGGAGTCTTGGTTGAGGAGATGACCTCCTGTTCTCCCTCCTTTGAGTACACAACCAAAGGGAACAGATTGAAATAGCAACTGCAGCAGCAGGGAATTAGGGCACACCAGAAAGAATCCCTCACTCAGTGTCAAGCCCCTTGGGGTCCCTGGTGTCCTAGCATCGGGGCCCAGATATTCTAGAGCCCAGCTCTACAGATTTTTAAAAAATATGTGGCGGTGTTTTTTTTGCAGAAAAATCTTATTCTCATGAGGTGTTCAAAACTTTAGGAGGTGGCACTCAGGGTCGGGGGGTGCTGGGGCCCTAGATCCCTACCTGTCCTGCCCTCTTCTCCTCCATGCCCTTTGGAAACCTAGGGTTCACTTAATCCTAAGTGGTCCTGCGGTGGTAGAATCCCCCTCAAGTGCCCTGGATCCTCAGGGAAGTAACTCACCTTCCACATTCCTTTGCTCTAAATGTGAGGTTCATCCAGTTCATTCTAACTGACTGTCTCCCAAACTGGCTTTATTGTGAGAACAGTAGATCACCATAGTCGTTCCTGTATATTCTGGTTCAGGAGATCTGGGGGACGGCCTCAGTCTGGATTTTAACAAGTTCCTCAGGTGATCCTGGCGGTTGCAGGCAGTGTGGGTTTCACTGAAATTCCTGACGCTGCACCTGCAGCTCCTTCTGCTGCAGCTCCAAGGCCGCAGCCCCTCTCCTCCGGCCTTCATGAATCCCCAGCACCCGCTTTCCAAAGGGGCGCTGAAGAGGGGAGTAGGATGTTTGTTTGAAGGAGCTGGCTTGCGTCTCAGGAGGCAGGGGTCACTGGGGGCGATGGGGACAGCGTAGGAATAGCTGAGGCTGAATGGAGCCGGGGCAGAGGCGTGAGGAGAGAGCCACAGCAAGGCCATCAGTCTTCCATCTGGGATTAGGCCGGATAGGGAATGAGGGCGGGTTTGCTCCGTTAGATAGGAGCGAGCGTGGCGGTGGCAGGTAAAATGGGCCTCCAGGAAAACACCAAGAACGGGACAGAGGGGAGTGGAGCTGTCCTGGGTGGGGCGGTGAGGAGACCCCACCTGGACTCATACAAGGCCGCATAGTGAGATGGGTAGAGCAGGCCCCGACTCCCTTCTAGTGATCTCCCTGGGGTGACTCTTGGCAGACTCCTCATGAGACCCTCGTGAAGCCCGGGACAGCTCTGGGCACCCGGGTGTGGAGGGGAACCCTAGGCCCCCTGCTCCGTCTGCCTGAGCTTTGGGCTTTGGGTGTAGCCGCAGGCAGCTCAATCTTGGTGAGGCGCCAGGGTGGTGCCTCCCCTGCCCAGCACCCTGGACAGCGCCTCATGCTGGGCCTTGGGGATGGCTGCCTGGGGCCTCCCTTTGGCTGCTTTGGGGTGGCCTTTGCTATGGAAAGCTGCCCTGCCTTCCCTCTTAATTTCCCTGAGTTCCCCCTTAACTTCCCCTCTAAAGGCAGCCCCAGCCTGGCGCCCTCCATTAAACACAAATTCACGCTGTCTGTGAGAACTTGGGAAGTGGCAAGGGCTCAGTCTGCCGTCAGCCTGGGGTTTTGTGTCCATCATTCACCAGCAGAGAGGAAGGGGACTTGGAGCGGACACTAGACCCTTCTCTAGTTCCTCCCAGCCTGGCGTTTCCTCGATGGGCTTTGGTGAATTCTGGGGAACACGAGGCATGTAGAGGTAAGGGGGGGAGACAGACAGGAGCACATGGAGTAGCTGGGGTTCAGGGGAGAGGTGAGTGGGGCTGACCTGAGTAGGGCAGTAAAGAGGCCACAGCCTGACCCAGACTCCATGTGGAAGTTCCTGAAAATATCATCTCCGCTATGCTCCTGTTCCCAGGCAGGCCGCCCGGTGCTGCTCCACTGGGCCTCAGACCTCCCCGACCCCCACCTTCCCAGCACCTGCCTTGTCTGACTATTCCCTCATTTCTTTATCTGCCACCAGAACTAGTGGTGTCCCATCCAACATAGGGTGGATGCAGTGACTGCTATGGATGAGGATCAATTCCCATCTGCACTGCCCGAGGAAAGCGGTGCCACCTGGGACCCCAGCCTGGAGCCTGTGGAGGAACCTGGGGTCCAGAATGGAGCGGCGCCCAAAGAGGACCTGAGTAGTAGCCACAGCAGCCTGGGCTATGAGGCACAGAGCACCCGGGGGGAGACTGAGGAGCCCCCAAGGGGCCTGGATATGGCCCTCCATGGCCTCAGCCTTGGCCTCTCCCTCATCAACGGCCTAGCCCTCGGGGCAGATTCAAATATTCTGGAAAATTCAACAGAGCCCAGGCCCTGGAGGGCTGGTGGATTGGCAGAGGGGGATGATACCTTCAAGGGCCACTGTCCAGACACTGAGGACGCTCAACTGGGGTAAGTGGGTGTCTGGGGGTGGGGGCTCACCAGATTTCCAGCTGCAGTGCTGGACCTTGCCACTTAATCTCTCTGGCTCTTGTTCTCTCATATATAAAATGGGAATTTCATGTCCTCTTTTGCCCAGTTTCTGGGTGTTTGGGGGAGGTAGAAGGATGTAAAAGACTACTTGTTCTATTGCGGCCTCTTATCCCCAACTCCCAAGCTATCATGGCCTATTTCCATGTGGAATTAGCGGCACCACCCCTCTACACCAGGCTGGACCTTAGAGAATGCCTTGATGTGGAAGGCCGTGCAGCTGCCCCTCTGCTTCCTGGAGATGAGTTTCCAAATGTTGAGGCTGACCTTGAAGAGCTGGCTTTTGTGTTCATCACGGTCAGCTACTTCTCACCTCAGTCCACCCAGAAGCTCTACCAGGATCACGCTCCATTACAACCCCCAGGCATTACAGCCCCATTTCTATCATCCGAACAAGGCTGGAGACCGCCAGTATCTTGGAAGTGCCAGTTGGACCAAGGAGGTGGGGGTTGGGAGGGGAATGTTTAGAAGACCCCGGGAGGCTGTGAAAGGCATCTCGAAGGCACTGAGCTGCATGGCGCCTGGGTAGGCGAGTGAGAGGGGGCACCGTGAAGCTGTGCTCGAGGACATGTGTGCGCCTGGTGTGTGCATTTTTGGGGGCACATATCAGCTGCACGTGGGCATAGAGGGCTGTGTGTGCAGATCTCCATGGGTAGGAGTGTGGGTTCCTGGGCGTGGTGCTGTGCGTGCAGGGGGTGTCGTGTTCTTAAGAGGGTTTCCATCCAGGCTGGGCCTAGGTGGCTGTGGGGTGCACAAGGGGCAGGACTTCTTAGAGCTCACAGTTGTCTCAGGCAGCAGATGTATTTGGGGTGAGTGAAGTGGGGACAGGTGGAGGTTTGGAGATTGGGCTCATGGTCTTTCAGGTGCTGTCAGAGCCACCCCTCAGGTTTGCCCCAGAGTGCGAGAGGGGAGCAGGAGGTGGTGGTGGGGAGACCTGCTGTTCATGGTTCTGACCATCAGTTGAGAACCCACCAAGGGCAGGGCTCTGTCTTATGTTTGGGTATTTTTCCTGGCACAAGTGTCTTTGCAGGGCAAATTTTGGAGGTCTTCTCTGGTATCTGCTTTGGCAGCCACTGACGCTCCTGCCTCCTCCCCTCCTCCTGGAGGCCTGAGAGGCGACCTCCACCCCAGCCCCCGTCCAGTGTCCTGCACCTCCAAGACTTCCATCCCCTCCCCACTTCCTTCTTTGGCCTGAGAAGCGTAGTGAGGCTGCGGTCAGCTCCCGCTGGACCTCGAGTGGGGGCATGGCAGTGGCGTTAGCCTATGCTCTCTCAGCCAGTGTGTTGCTCCTGAAGTGCACTGAGACCAAATCATCTGCATTGGGGATGATTTAAGGGGACGGGCACTGCCCAGGCCTCCAAACACAACTCAGTCTCTGCTCCACAGCAGGGACTGGGCGATGGCAGGGTAACCAGATCCTCGGAGGGAGAGCGGGGTGTCCGTCTTGTAAGTCATGGACTTTGATTTCTCTGAAATGGACCAGGCTCAGTCCGCCTCTCCCTGTCTGTATCTCTTGGGGTGTCTGTGTCTCCCTCTTTCTTTGTGCCTCTGTATTACTCCTTGTCTCTGTTTTAGAGGCTCCTGTATCTCTTTTCTCTGTCTCTTTCTTGTCTCATATCTCTTCCTCTCTTCTCTATTTTAACTTTCTTTAGTTTTGCTTTCCTCTTTCATCCTGAGTTCCTTGCTACCTGAGCAGGAGTTCGCCCCCGGGGCACCCCAGTTCATCTGTCTGGGATGGTCTATTCTAGGTGCGGGGGGTACAGAAGAGAACAAAACATACAAAAATTCCTGCTTTCATGGCACTTACAGTCTAGTGAGGGAGCGATGAGAAGTCATTAAGATAATATACATGTCTATAAAAAATAAAGTAGAAAGAAACGACTGGTTGTTCCCTGGCCTTGTGTGAGGGGAGCTGGGTGATACCGAAGAACGGGGATAAACGGGGAGCAGACGGAGTATCACTTGTAAGGGGCGGAGAGAAAACGAAGAGCTGAGGGTGGAGAATAAGGAGAGGGGCCAGTGTAGCGGGTGGTGTCACCTGCCCCCATCAGCCTCTCCGAGGAGGCGACATTAGGGTGAGGCCTGAGAGCTGGGCTGTGGTCGGCTGAGAACTTCATAAGTTGTGGGGACAGCAAAATCATGACCAGGTGTGACGCCAGATGTGATGCCCCTGGGGAGCCGGTGCTTTTCTAGGAGACAGAGAGCGATCCCTTTGGGCCAGCCTAGAGGAAGAGGCTTGCTTCCTTCCTTCCTCCCTTCCATGCTTTTGTGGGCTGGATGTAGCTTGGACACTGGTGGGGTGGGGGTGGTGGTGAAGCCATTCCTGACATTTTCACTGCTGCACCCCAGTACCCAGTCCAGCCTCCTGCACCCAGTGCTTGTGAATACTAGCAGAAAGGATAAACAGGGCGCAGTCTGTGGGCACGGCCCTCACACCCCACCCCCCCATCAAGCTCCCAGATGAGAGTTGATGCAGGGTCAGTACCTGCATCAGTAATGGGGGACCCGCAAGATGGTGACCTGTCCTTGCCTCCTGCAGGCTGGGTGGCCCTGGAGAGCCGGATGTGCGAGACGGCTTCAGTGCCACATTCGAGAAGATTGTGGAGTCGGAGCTGCTGCAGGGCACCCAGTACAGCAGCCTCGACTCCCTGGATGTGCTGAGCCTCACAGATGAGAGTGACAGCTGTGTCAGCTTCGAGGCCCCCCTCACGCCCCTCATTCAGCAGCGGGCGCGTGATAGCCCTGAGCCAGGTGCTGGCTTAGGTATGGGGGACCTGGGGTCTGAGGGGGACGTGGGAGCAGCTGGTGGCGATGGGGAGCTGGGCAGCCCCCTGCGGCGCTCCATCTCCAGCAGCCGCTCAGAGAACGTCCTGAGTCGCCTGTCTCTCACGTCCATGCCCAACGGCTTCCACGGAGATGGACTCCGGGGCCCAGGCGGGGACGAGGAGGATGATGAGGACACGGACAAGTTGCTGAACTCGGGCAGGTGAGGCAGGGCCCAGGCCGGGAGCTGGGAGATCACTGAGCAGAGGGGGGAATGGAGGCCGCGTGGAGGCAGAGCAAGTTAGGGTGACCTGGTTCCAGAGGGAACAGATGGCTCCAGGGTGACTGACCATCCTCTGCAGCCAGATGCCCAGAGCCCAGCCTGGGGTGGCCCGGGGCCTGCGCTGTGGGCTCGTGTAGCGTAATGATCTCTCCTGAGGGGCTCTTCTCAAAGTCTGACTTGTGTCCCTCCTGAGTAGCTTTTCCCCTACTCTGGCCCCTGTGTGGGCTTTCAGAACCCCGGGGAGACCTACCGGCCCCACCCAGGGCCTCTGAGCCCTCTCCTCTACCGCTCTCTTCCGTCTGCAGTGACCCCAGCCTGAAGGACGGCCTGTTGGACTCAGACTCGGAGCTGAGCAGCTCGGAGGGGCTGGAGCCTGGCGGCACAGACCCATTGGCCAATGGCTGCCAGGGGGTCAGTGAAGCTGCCCGCCGGCTGGCCCGCCGCCTCTACCACCTCGAGGGCTTCCAGCGCTGCGATGTTGCCCGGCAGCTGGGCAAGAAGTGAGTTGGGTCCCCCGCACCACTCTACCAGCGCCCCAGTGTCTTCCTCGGTGGTGTGAGCGGCTGCCATCAGGTGCCTAGAGCTGGGGGCTCCCAGTAGTCCCCAAGAACTCCTCCTCCTGCCTCTGTCCTCATTCCTGTCTTGCCCTAAATCTGTTTCCTTTCTGGGATGCTTGGGTGAGAACCTGAGCTCTCAGGGAGGAGAGGTGGTGCTGGGGCGGCCACTGGTGCTGGGGAGTGGGGTGTGCCGTGTGGTTATGGGCCGCCAGGGATGGTTATGGGACAGAGTGGTCAGATGGGCGAGTGGCCTGCCCAGTGGGTTCAAGGCCTGGGCTGGGAGTGCCTGGAACCCAGGAGCTGGGGAAGGGTTGCTTTCTCCACTGTCTGCTGGGATCAGCTCAAGGTGTGGAAGCCACCAAAGCACTCGCCCTGGACTTGGGACTGGGGGGAAGGGTACTCACCATCTGGGAGTCCTGGGGGAGTTGTGGGTTGGGGATGGGTCCTTTACAGGCCAGTGTCTTTAAATCTGGTGGCTGCTGCTCAGGCCCTACTCCGACTCCTTCAGCGGTGCTGACACACCATCCGCTCCTTTCTTTTTCTTTAATGAAACTTTGTTATGAAAATTTCAAACATACACAAAAGTGGAGAAAATATTTAACCCCTATATACATGTTACTCACCTTCAGAGTTACCAACATTTTTTTTTAAAGATTTATTTATTTATGCATACAAGAGCTGGGGTACAGGCCAGAGATGGGGGGTGGGGGTGAGAGGATTCACCAGAGCCAGAGCGGGGAGCAGAGCAGGCAGAAGGACCGAAGTACACTGCTGAGGGGAGCAGCGGGCGGCAGGAGAGGTCTGCTGTGCTATGTGGGTTGCTCCCTGGCTGGCTGGGGATTGAACTTGTGCTGCAGAGGCTGTGGACCACTTCATAGTGTGGTGCTTAACCCCTTGCGCCATGAGGGAGGCCCCAGTTACCAACATTTTTTGATTTTTGTTTTAGCTATTGTGCCCCCCTTGCCACAGCTTTTTAATTTTTTTCCATTTGTTGGCATATTTTATTTATTTATTTAAAGATGTATTTATTTATGCATACAAGAGCTGGGGTATAGGCCAGAGATGCGGGGGGTGAGAGGACCCACCAGAGACAGAGTGGGGAACAGAACAGGCAGACTGACTGAAGTACACTGCTGAGGGGAGCAGCGGGCGAGCCAGGAGAGGTCTGCTGTGCCATGTGGTTTGCTCCCTGGCCAGCCAGGCATCGAACTCATGCTGTAGAGTCTGCAGACTGCTTCATAGTGCGGTGCTTAATCCCGACACCACCAGGGAGGCCCTGTTCGCATATTTTAAAGTGTATTTCATGGCCTCCCCGGTGGTGCAGTGGTTGAGCGCTGGATTGAGAAGCTGCCCACAGCCTCTGCAGCGCCGGTTTGATCCCCGGCCACCGGAGAGGGTCCCACATGGCGCGCAGACCTCTCCTGCCGCCCGCTGCTCCCCTCAGCAGTGTACTTTGGTCCTTCTGCCTGTTCTGCTCCCCGCTCTGGCTCTGGTGAATTCTCTCACCCTCCCGCACTTCTGACTGTACCCACTGCTTGTATAAATAAATAAATAAATCTTAAAAAAAAAAGTGTATTTCAGACACTGTCATTTATTCCATAAATACTTTCGTATGTCTGCTTAACTGATAAAGATTTTTGACATAATCATCATTCCATTACACTCTCACAAAATGAACAAAAAATCCTTTATATCTCTACCATTTTTTCACTTTTCTTTGATAGTTTAAAAAATGTGGATTTGTTCAAATCAGAATGCTTTGGTGACATTTGGCCAGTCTGTCTCTTAGTTCTCTCCTAAGCAGCAACCTCCAGTCCTCTTCCTTTTTATAAGTCAATTTTTATTTATTTACCATTTATTTGCAGAATGATATAATTTTAGAAGAGCTTCACACTTGACACATGCACAAGCTTCACCCCCCTCCACCAAGCTCAGTGCCACGTTTCCTTTTTTTTTTTAATACTTTTTTTATAGAGGCGTGTTTTATTTATTTATTTGTTTGTTTATTTGTTTTGTTTATACAAGTACTGGGTACAGTCAGAAGCGCGGGAGGGTGAGAGAATTCACCAGAACCAGAGTGGGGAGCAGAGCAGGCAGAAGGACAGAAGTACACTGCTGAGGGGAGCAGCGGGCGGCAGGGGAGGTCTGCGCGCCATGTGGGACCCTCCTCCGGTGGCCGGGGATCAAACCGGCGCTGCAGAGGCCCTGGGCAGCTTCGCAACCCAGCGCTCAACCGCTGCGCCACCGGGGAGGCCCTCCTTTTTTTTTTAATGCCCAGTATTTGTTGAAGAAACAGCCATTTGTCCTGAAGATCTGCCCTGCTTTGGATGTGGCACCGCATGGCGGTCTTTCCCGTGCTCCTGTATTTCCCACATCTCCTGTAATAGGAAGCCACTGAGCGAGGCTCAGTAGATTCCGGTGGAAATTTGCACTCTTCTTCGGGGAGAATTCAGCCCTGCAGTCTTCTCAAATACTCTGCCAGGCCTCAGGACACCCCTGCCTCCAACTCCTTTTCTCAGTCTCCTTCACCAGCCATGTTTAAGGGGGCTGCCTCCCTGCTCTCCCGCTGCCTGCCGGCTGCCTGTGCACCCCTTCCGCTGTGGGCTCACCCCCGTCCATCACGTCGGGATTCACCTAATCAGCTGTGGGCTCTCATGTTGGTGCCTCCTCCTGAGCTCAGACGGCTCCCCCAGAGGCAGCCTTCTCTGCTGTGGCCCACACCTGTTCCCTTTCCATGTCCTGTGATCTGTCGCCAAACTCTACCCCCCCACCCCCAGTGCTCTCCAGCACTGCTCCTGCAGCCTCCCATGTGGCTCCACCCTCCACCGGGCACATGGCATTCCTCTCACCCCTCCCTGCTGCATCACACCCTCCAGAGTCAAGTCCTGATCCTGCCCGTGGCCTTTGGCCCTCTGCCTGCCTCTCTCTTGCTGTCCCCATGCCTGCTGTGTGGCTGTGGCCGCACGGCCCTGCCCGATTGGGTGTGAGCCTGTTCCTCTTCTGGGTACACTCTACTCTTCCTCTCTCCCCTTTCGCTGACTTGCTCTTTCTGGGAGATGTCGGCTGAGATATTATATGGCCCCCAGCCCAAGGTAGAATGGTCAGAGCTCCACTAGCCAGTAGAGGAAGGCGGCCTAGGGGGCGAGCAGGTCTCTGGGTTTAGGGGGGTTGCAGGGCCCTCTGTCCACACTCCCCCCATTGTCTGCTGTGCCAACTTCTAATGAACACCTGTGCTCTCTTGGCAGCAATGAATTCAGCAGGCTGGTGGCCGGGGAGTACCTCAGCTTCTTCGACTTCTCAGGCCTGACTCTGGACCGTGCACTCAGGTTAGCAGGGCTGGGGGGCAGAGTCCACCAGTGGTACAGGGGGCCCCCTGGGTTCTCATGCCGACTCTATTGTACACTTGCCTTGCAACCTGGGGCAAGTGTCGTAGTGCCTCTGGGAAGGCTGTGGGGTGAGTGCGGACCACCTGCAGCAGAGGAAGGAGGCACCAGGCTTGAGCACACACTCCCTGCATTCCATCCCCACAAATGAGGAACTCCACCCGCGCGGAAAGAGACTTCTCCACAGTCCTTGAGGGAGGCAGTGGTACAAATGGGATTTGATCTCAGGTCTTGTTGGTGTGTGGAGGGTAGGATGCCAATGGGGTTCAGGTGCAGACCCCAGAGGCGGAGGATGTGGGGTAGGGCCTGCAGTGGTGTCTAGCAGGCTGGGTAGCAGGGCCCAGCCCAGAGTCCTCAGGCCAGAGCCCTTGCTTGGGTAAGCCTGGGGCAGGTGGGAAGACCTTGTTGTGTCCACATGTCTCACTCTTTAAAAAAAAACTACTTTCCATTCTTTTCTCTCTGCTTCACTTGGGATATTTTCCATTAACCTGCTTCCAATTCACTGATCCTTTTCTGTATCTGATATGAAACCCATTCATTGAGTTTTTACTTTCTGTTATATTTTCCAGTTGGAGAAGTTCCATTCTGTTAAAATTTAGTTTTTAAAGATCTTAAGTCTCTGGGGAATTCCTCACCTTTTAACTTGTTTCCCCCTATTTCCTTCTCTTTTCTTTACCATAGTGGTCATAGTTAGTTGAAAATTCTTGTCTGCTCACCTCAATATCTGCATCATCTCAATTACCTCTCTTTCTTTTTTTTTTTTTTTGCATTTCTCTTTTTTAAATTTAAATTTTATTGTTATATTCCCCATACAATTGCAACCCCCTTATTTTGACCCCGATCCCTCCTTTCCCCGCCCCCCACCCCCCCATAGAGTGTCTCTGGTTCATAGTTGTTTGTTGATTTTGATTTTCACTTTCTTATAGTTATTCTTTTTCCTGGACCCTTATTTAAGTTTTCTAGATTCCTGCTATGAGTGAGACCATCCGGTATTTTTCTTTTTCTTTCTGGCTTATTTCGCTGAGCATGATCCCTTCCAGCGCCATCCATGTTGCTGCAAATTGCATGTGTTTATCTTTTTTGATTGCTGAGTAATATTCCATGGTGTATATGCACCACATCTTCTTGATCCAGTCATCTATTTTTGGGCATTTGGGTTGTTTCCAAAGCTTAGCTATTGTAAACAGTGCTGCTATAAACATAGGGGTGCAGGTGCTCTTTGGAATTGATGTTTCTGTGTCCTTTGGTGAATTACCTCTCTTTCTGTTGTCATTTTCTATTCTTTTGGTTTTCACCACATAGTATGTCTCCCTGCATGCTTAGCAATTTTTTTATTTAGTTGCTGTTTATTTTGCATAGAATATAACAGCACTAGATTATGACCTATTCCTCCAGAGAGCTTTGCCCTAATCCAAGCAGGCCTGAGCTGACGGGAGCTGTATGCTGCCTGGGAGAGATCAGGTTCACCCCCTTTATGGGGTGAAGGCCTGGGGGGCTTTCCTCTGGGAGCCTTGAGTGTTCACAGGGGCGGGTACTTTTGGTGGGTCCTGAATCCTAATTTTGTCTCCTCAATGCAGCAAGTGTGTCAAAAACAAGAAAACAAACAAACAAAAACCTAACCCAAATCCCTTGATTTCTCAGAGGCTTTCTGTTTAGCTTTTCAGCATCCTACCCTTACAGCGTCTGAATTTGGCAAATACCTCAAAGGGAAAACTAGCCGTGTGTTTATAGCTCCTCAAAGATGCAGGTTTGTCTCCTCAGCTCCCTGCAGCCACCAAATGTTTTGCCTTTAGCCTGCGCCCATAGTCAGTGAGGCCCTTGGGGAAAGGCCCATAAGCCAGTCCTCCTTCCCCAGTTCTCTCCTCTCTGGAGCCTTGGCCCTTTTGGTCTTTGTCGCAGTTTTCGGTGAGCAGAAGATCTGGGTTCTATCTAGCTGTTCTCTTTGTTCTTGGGAAGTGTCGGTCTGCCCCAGCCACTCCAGCCCAGTTGAGTCTGACGTTGGCATTGGAAGGAGGAAGATGGGTCGGGAAGGGGTCGAGGGTCAGCTTGTGAGCAGAAGAGCAGGGGCTGGGCTGGCAGAGCTTGTGCGGCCTCCCCAAGGATTGCAGTTGAACTGCATAGGCACTGGGGAGCCACAGAGGGTGTTGGGTGTAAAGCAGCCTTTTGGGAGGCAGTGCTGACCCAGCATGCGCCTTTCATCCAAAGGCGTGCAGGTTTCTGAAGAGGGTCAGATAGGAGAGGACAAGGTGAGGCTGGGCAGTGGGCCAGGGGAAAGAGTGGTGTCAGAGGTTGCAGAGAGAATAGAGGAGAAGGTCTGGGGCTGCCTACGTGCAGAGGAAAAGGGGGACAGTGGGGCAGCCTGAGAGTTTGGAGGTGGCTGTACTGGGTTGGGTCTTGGTAAGGACTCCCCAGGGAAGGCGAGTTTGTGGTGGGGGGAGGACCAGGGATGTGTGGTCAGGCTGGAGGGGAGCGGGGCTAGACCGTCCTAGTGGAATATGAGAAAAGGGAAGGACCAGTTCTGGGGACCAGCTGGGGGGAAAACAGGAAGTGGGAGAGACAGAGAGGAGGAGAACTAGATGGCAGGTAGGAGCGTGTACTTGTATCGCAGTCTAGTGATTGGGCTTGAATAGAGTGGTCTGCAGTTTTTGGGTGCTTTGGGTTGCCCCAGAGGGTATGGGTTGGCCCCAAGATGGAAATTGCAGGTGTCAGGTGCCTTAGGAACAGCGTGAGGAAGAAGATAGCAGGTGGGCTTTAGAGCCGCTTTGAGTCAGAAGGCAGATGCGCTATAGCAAAGCCGTGGCAAAAAGAGGAACAAACCTGCCTCTTGAACTGCAGACACAGAGGCCCCAGTGGGCTCCAAACCTGCAACTTCCTTTCCAAAGAGAAGGGGCACTCTCAGGCCCTAGTTAAGGAACCCCTGTCTTATCTCTTAGCTATTCTGGTTTTGAGGTCACCTGCCAGGATCCCTGAGAGCTGATGACTTTTCACTTGGACCTTGAGGGGGGATGGTGAGCTGCCCAGAGGAGGAAAGGACCCCCGTGATGGGTTTAAGCGGGGGTGAGTCTTGACAGCATGTGTGTTCAGCAAGATCACTCAGTGTCAGCAAGGGGGGCTGTGAGGAGAGGTTCAGGGGGCCACCTGTCTGTATGCTCTTGTGGGGGCCCCGGTATCTGACCACAGTGGAGGGGAAGGAGGAGGGACCGAGCTCTAGAAGAACAAGCCATTGGGACTTGGTGACAGTTCAGTCTTGGGGTGGAAAAGAGTGAATGCGCCAGGATGGCCTGGTCTCAGCTGAAGGCTTGAGGAGGCGAGGAAAGACTGGGGAGCAAGGGAAGAGGTGGGGACAGTCTGGGCCCAGGAGCGAGGTGTGGGCAATCACCCTGGAGAGCTGCTGTGGGGCTTGTCTGTGTTCTTCACACTCCCCCCGCCCCGCCATCTGTCCCCTGCCTGCTTCTGATTTCGGGCTCCCTGGCCTCCACCCTCCGGAGGCTGTCCTGGGGGCCAAGGTGCAGGGGTGCTGGAGCCTTGGCTCCCCCAGGCAGGTTTGTGTGTTGTGTGTGTGAGGGAGCTCCTACCTGCATGAGGACTGAGCCTGACTCAAGGGGACCTTCAGCTTCCGTGAATTTTCCCTCCCCCTCCCCAGAACCTTCCTAAAGGCCTTCCCATTGATGGGGGAGACACAGGAGCGCGAGCGGGTTCTCACACACTTCTCCCGCCGGTACTGCCAGTGCAACCCTGATGACAGCACCTCGGAAGGTAAGACTGCCTGCCCCGCTGGCCCCTCCTGGGCAACCCTGCATCCTCCTGCCCCGTCCACCTGCCATACCTGTCCTGCTCTGTGATGGTGGATTAGTAGACTGTGGCCCACGGGGTATGTCTCATTTGGACATGTCTCACCCATGGTCCTTGCCTGCGCCTCCATCCTAGTAATAGATTTAGTCCTGCATATTTTTGTTCTCCCTGGTCCCATCACACTGACAGTTCTTGGTGTGGTGGGAGAGTTGGTGTGGGGTCTGGGCTGGGCCTGCTTAGGGGCAGGACTTTCTCTATGGACAGACACAGGCCATGGCAGGGACACAGGCCAGGACCCACAGCTTTTCTGGAGCTGAGATTTGAGACCAGTTTGGCCATAGGAGGCAGGTGTCTGGGCTAGAGCAGGCCCAGGGTGGTCAGGTTCCCACTGAAGGAGGGGCAGGCCCTGGCCTGGGATGGGAAAGTCACTCCGGTGCTGCAGTGGGGGCAGAGCAGGGGGCATCACACAGGCCCTGGGCCCTGAGGTCTGGTGGGCAGCCGGCCTGTTCCTTCCTCCAGGGGACAGGTGGGTGGCGCCGGTTGGCAGGTTGGGCATTCATTCTGAGGAGCCACATCTCTTGTTTAGATGGGATCCACACTCTCACCTGTGCCCTGATGCTGCTTAACACAGATCTGCACGGACACGTGAGTCGGGGAGGCAGGGAGCGGGCGGTCTTCTCACTAAGTCACCCGAGTTTTCCCAGGGCTGGCCCTTTCTCCACCCTTTTCTGAGGCCTCCTGTTCAGTGACCACGTTTCTTTTAGCAGAACTGGGAGTTGGGTGACTCGGCTTCTAGTCCTGGTCCTGCCCTAGTTTTATCCACCTGGCATCTGCCCGCGTCTCTGTCCCTAGGCAGGGCAATGAGAGTGGGGGGCACACAGGGCGTTCGGGCTGAGACGTGCATCCTGGCGTGTCCAAGACAGACATGGCTGGTGGAGCATCACCCTCCCGCAGGCCTGGCTGTGGCCCCAGCTGAATGGGAGGTTCCCTCGGAGGCATTCTCCTCACCCCCTCGCCCCCATTAGGCAAACAGTGAGGTGATTTGTGGGGGTGCCCGGGCTGACTGGTCAGGGCCCTGGTGTGTCTCAGTGCTGCTCATGACTCGGTAACTCCTTCTTCTTTCCTCTGTCTGCTCCGGGGACCCCCTTTGGGCTCTCTTGCCCTCCCTCAGGTGGTAAGTGGAGCTGGTGGTGTGCATGCCCGTGAGCCTAGCCCCTCCATCTCCATGTTACTCTTGTATGTCCCCATCACACCATCTGGCCCCACCAATCACCGCCCCTCATCACTCACCCAGGGGTGGTCAGAGCGCTCCCTTGAGTGGGGTGCATTCCAGTGACTCATGGGGGCAGCAGGCGGCTAGCCTGTCTCCAGAGAGAACCAGAAAATTCCAGGAAAAGGAGGGTGAAGGAAGAGCCGCGACTGCAGAGCTGCTTGGCCTCCGAGTGGTGGCTCTGCGGCCTGGGCGCGGCAGCCCTTCCTGGGTCTCAGGCCCTTCCTGGACCTGTGAGGTGGGTAGGAGGACCCCCCACTGACATGAGGCTGCTGAAAGAGTGATAAATGTGACAAACAGGGTTTGGCACCTAGTAAGGATTTCCTTGTGGATGGTAGTATGTAAGAAAAATGAGAGCGTTCATTATTTTTATTAAAATTTAAATGATGGAGAGCATGGGGTCCAGCCTGCAGATCCCCAGAGGTTCAAGAACAAGAAGGCTGCAGCCTGGAGGCAGCCTGAGTGGCTGCGTGGATATTGCGGTGACCTCAGTGGGACGGGTAGTGCTGACGTCCACCTGGACCTGCGGCCTGAGTGTGGAGCCAGCGTGAAGTGTGACCTCCCTGGGTCTGTCACCAGAGCTCAGGCCCCTTCACCAGCTGGCACTCCTCTAAGGTGCTCAGTGGGTTTGTCTACGGGGACTGAGTGTTGCTGGTGTGCCTCAGAAGGAGGATGAAATACACCCCTCACCTCCCCTCTCCACCCAGGGTTGAGCCTGAGGGCAACCGCAGCCCTGGCTGCTCCTCGCCAAGGCTTGGAACCGCTAACAAGGGTGACAGTCACTGTTCAGTGGGCCCCTGCTGAAAATACCCCTGAGCAGGGTGGCCGTAGTTGCTCGAGACCCCATGTTCATGAAGTTGCCAAGGAACCTCAGCACCGGCAGGGCTCAGAGTGGCTGAACAGCCCACGCCCTGCTGCTCATATTTGATGCCAGCAGACTTTGTGCCTGTCTTTCTGGAGGTGGACATCAGGGTAGGGTCCTAGGCCCTCTGCATTTCTCCACACGACAGCTCTGTGACCTGGGTCACGTTCCTGACCCCACTAAGCCTCAGTTTCCCCATAGTAAAGTCCCTGTGAGGCTCAAGTGCAGCACCGTGGAGCACCTGGCACATGTTGGGGGGTCGCAGTTACTGTGAGCTCTTTGAAGGACCTGGGTGGAAGCAGCAGCCCTGCCCTGGGCTTGCCCCTCTCCTGCGCACCTCACTCTGGCCCTCCTCAAAGAGAGGCTGGGCACCTGGTGAATGTGGGGATTGCGGGAGAATGGGGCCTGCTAGGGTCCCAGAAATAGCTGTGAGAGAGAGGAAGGCATTAAAGGGGCTGGCAAAGGGTGTAGACACACACTCTTGAGATGGACACAACTTGTTGGAGTAGCCTGCAAGGCTTGCTGTAGGATGAACCTTTTATTCGAAGGACTGAGTGCCTCTATGTTCTCTGAAGAAGGAAAGGGAACCCTGCCTCAGGGGCCTACCTGCTGGTTAGAAGACCTACGCAGGAAATGAGTGATTACAAATAGGCCTCTCTGAGGAGGCAAGGTTTGGGCAGAGACCTGGAGGGTCAGCAGGAGCAGCCACAGGAAGATCAGGGTCCAGGCAGAGGACCCGGCAGGTTGTGCCCCTGTCCGGCTGTTGTGAGCAGTGCTGCTCTGGACGGCTGTGCAAGTTTTTCTTTGAACACCTGTTTTCAGTTCGATGCTTACTAGTGGGCCGCTGGGCCACATGGTAACTTTTTTTAACTTCTGGGGTGACCGCAAAAATCCCCATAGCAGCTGTTGTCTGAAATGATGGTGGTTTGGACAGGCAGGGCCTGAACATAGCGAGAAGGGCCCAGTGAGGAGGACTGTTCAGTGCAGTCGGCCGGGGCCTGCTGGTGGGACTGGCTAGTGAGAGGCGGGAGGACAGCCTCGGCATCTGGCTGGATGGGGGGCCCGCTTCCTGGGTAGGGAAGAAACTTCTCTGCGTGTGGGAGGGTTGTGAGTGGAAGAGGTGGGGCTCTGGTCCTGCTTTTGACCTGTTGTTTTTGAGTTGCCTACTGGACCTCACCCTGGGGCTGCAGGTCAATGAATGCAGGCCCAGAGGAGAGGCGCGGGCATCAGAGAGCAGAGGGCTGGGGTGGCCCTCTGTCCTGATGAAGTTGGAGCCCTGGGGCATGCTCTCAGGGGGAGGCGCTGGCTGGTGGCCAAGTCCTCCAGTGCTGCCTGCATAGAGGTCAAGCACTGCGGGTCTGTTAGACTTAAGTGGCCTGTTCACCACCATTATGGTTACCTGCAGTTCTGCATTCTTATACAAAGGTCAGAACTGCCCAGTCACAGTCATGTGAGCCAAACCTTACAAAGGTGCCTTTCATATCAATCAAGAGCAGAAAGCTTGATCACTCTGGGGAGGGTACGCATCATGAGGTATGACCAGGAATACCCTGGGGGGCCGAGGACTGATGTATGACAGGGGACCCCAGAAGCTGCCCAGTGGAATGCCTTGTTGATAAGATTAGGACCGTGGCCGGAGGTCTGGGGTCTGGTTTCGATTTTAACACTTGGTCATCCAGCTGATAACATGGTCAGCAGCCTCGTGTCCCCCCAAGCCCTAGATGACATTCCTGGTTTCACCTATCCTTTCTCCTTGTCCTCCTAACCCATGTAGCTGATGCTGTAGGATTATTCTATCAATAAGAATGGCCAGGATCTTGCTCTCAGCAGCATCCTGCCTTGTGCAGCCTGTTCCACGACTCCCGTGTCTTTGTCAGTGTGGTGTTGCCCCACGCAACAAAGCACGGCAGCAGGGAGACGCGGGAGGCCGGGGAGTGTGAAAGTGTTTCAAGGGAAGGGATCAACCAACTTCATTAAAGGCGGCCATGAAATCAGGTAAGAGGACTACAGAAAAGTGATTGGGCTGGAAGAGTCATTGGCCGTGTCATTGGGGTATTATCAGTTCAAGGTCAAGGTCATTGGGGACCTTTATAAAAGCGGTGTGGCGGGGGGTGGGGGGCTGTGTGCCAGGTGTGAGGAGCAGAGGATGGCGGCTGAGGGATGGGGTCTGTGCACAGCCCAGACTGTGGTTTTGAGTGGAAACCTGGGATGGACCAGTGGCTAGAGGGGTCTAGAGGGAGCTGAATCAGATTAGTTTTAGAATCAGATTAGTGCATGCCAAGAGGATGTACCAGGCAGGCAAGGAGAAACTGGTGCAGGAGAGAGCAGGGATAACTGAAGCCTCCTTTGTGAGAAGCAGCAGAGCTTAGAGAGGGGCCTGGGTGGGCCTGGGGAAAGGTCTCCATGGCCGTGAGCCGGGGGATGGCAGCTCCACTCTCCAGACAGAAGAACGTGGAAGCTTGGTTTAGAATTGAAGATGGCGATGAGGAAAGAAATTCAAGGTATGTTTTGAGGTGCAGCCAATAGCACTGTTAGGTGAGTGAATGCTGGGGTGAGGGAGGGCGAGCCATCACGGATGAGCAAGCAGAGTGGAGGTGGTGGAGATGGCTGGGAGAAGCTGTGGCCTGAGGCTCGGCGCTGACACAGAGGAGTTGTTTTTCAGAACAGCTTCATCTCTTTAAACCTTGGTGGCTTGAAGGGTAGCCATGGGGATGCTGGGAGGCGGGCTGGGGCGAGATGGTGGAGGACTTGAGGTTTGGATGCTGTCTCAAGGCATGAGATCTGCCTGTTGGAACCCAAATATTTTTTAGGTTTGGTCTGGATTTGCTAATAGTCACAAAGGTTTCCATGTCCATTGAACTTTTGATTGACCCCGCCTCTCCCCCTGAAGGCTCACGTCTGCTTTCTTTCTCCTTGGCTCCTCATTCTGTTCTTGGGGTACCCTTAGAGACAGGATTGTTCCAGAGCTGCATGGCAGTCATGCCAGACTGATGGCAAGGGCCTGGCTTCTGTAGGGTCAGAGGCCATGATAAAGCTTCAGTGTCTGGGTGATGGCCTGGGCGGCACCCTAGAGCCCCTCCAACCTCCACTCTGGGACAGGCTTGGGAACAGGTTTGAGGGTACAGCGCAGGCTGGGAGACCTCGTTGACTCAAAGGGAGGGGGAGTGAGGGCGGAGCTGAGAACTTGGAGGTACCAGATCATCATTGGTACGAGATCATCGAGATCTTCGTTTGGCCTGGTTGTTGTTAAATTTTAAATCAGATAATTTACCTAGAATGATTTCACTTCTTTGCAGTTTGCTGAGTTTTGCTGTTGTGTCTGATCAATATTAGTAGCTGTCTCATGTGGGCTTGGAAAGAGAGTGCACTGGCTCTCACGTCCTGGGTGCTGATTAGGTTAAGTCTTTTAATTGTGTTGTAAAATCTTAGTGGTACAGCAAAGTTTACCAATATAACTATTTTAAGATATACAATTCAGTGGAATTAGGCATAGTCAGGTAGAGTATGAACATTCCCACCCTAGTTCTGGAACTTTTCCCTCACCCCAAAAGAAAACCGGGAATCCCTTGTCCTGTCCTTCAGAAGCCCCTGCTTCTGTCACGGTGGAGCTGCCCGCTGCTCTGGCCCTCTCCTGTAAATGCAGTCACCCAGCATGTGGTCTTTGTGGCAGGGTCCCTTCACTCAGCGTAATGTTTGCAAAATCCATCCACCTGGTAGCCAGCGCCTGCTAGTCCTCCGTGTGGCTGCACGAGGGGTTGGGTTTTTTCCTACCTTTAGAAAACATTTTTTTTTGTCCTTCTACCTTGTGGTTATTGTGAAGAGTGCCCCTCATTCTGTTCCTGGGGTGCCCTTGTTTTTGTTTGAACACCTGTTTTCGGTAGCTGGGTCACATGGTGAGTCTATATTTGTGTTTTTGAGGAACTGTGAAGCTTTTCCACAGCGACGAAACCTTTCAAAATTCCCATCATTAATATATGAGGGCTCCAGTTTCTCCACATCCTCGCCAACACTTATTTCCCTTTTTTAAATGATCGTCAGCCCAGTGGGTAGGTTTTGGTTTGGACTTGTCTTTCCTTAATGACTAATGAGATCAAGCATCTTTTTGTGTGTGGGTTGGCCATTTGTATATCTTCTTTGAGGAAATGTGTATTCAAATCCTTTACCTATCCTTTATTTTTTCCATTTGAAAAAGCAGTGGTAAAATATGAAAAGTATATTTTTCCCTCTTGATCAATTTTAAGTGTATAGTTCAGTAGTGTCAAGTCAGTTGTGCAGCCAATCTCCAGAACTTTCTTCACCGATATAACACTTTCCCATTGTTCCACCCTGAGCTCTTGGCCAGCACCATTCCGTTTCTGTTTCTGTGAACTTGGATTACTCTACGTAAGTAGAATCATGCAGAGTGTGTGTTTTGGGGACTGGCTGTGTCACTTGATGTCTTCAGGGGTCATCCACATTGAGTAGGTGTCAGAATTTTTTTCCTTTTTAAAGGGTGAATAATAATCCACCGCATTTTGTTCATCTGGTGACTGACTTTGATTGAGTCTACCTTTTGCCTTCTATAGGTGCGGCATGAATATGTGGATGCAAATATTCCTTCAACACCTGCTTTCAATTCTTTGGTGTATAGACCCCGAAGTAGTATGTTGCTTTCCATTTTTTTAGGAATAACCATTCTAGAGACGACACCATTGCACGTTCCCCCCAGCAGTGCACAATGGGCTTAGATTTCCCCACATCCTCACCAACACTTGTTGTTGTTGTTGTTGTTTTTTTAGGTAGTAGCCATCCCAGTGGGCATGGAGTGCTGTCTCATTGTGGTTTTGATTTGTGTTTCCCTCACGACTAGTGATGTTGAGCATCTTTCCGCGTGCTCGTTGACCATTGTCTGTCTGTCAGTCTTCTTTGGAGAAATGTCTGTTCAGGTTTTTTGCCTTTTTAAAATTGGGTTGCTTGTGTTTTGATTGTTGAGTTCTAAGAGTTCTTTACATAGTCAGGATACTAGTTCCTTATCAGATAAATGGTATTCAATTTTTCCCCCCATTCTGTGGGTTGTCTTTTCACTCTCTCACTAAGAACTACCTTTTTTTTTTTTTTTTTAAAAAAAAAAGATTTATTCATTTATGCATACAAGAGCTGGGGTACAGGCCAGAGGTGTGTGTGGGGGGGCAGGTGAGAGGATTCACCAGAGACAGAGTGGGGAGCAGAACAGGCAGACTGACTGAAATACAGTGCGGAGGGGCACAGCAGGCGAGACAGGGGAGGTCTGCTGCACCATGTGGGTCAGCTCTCTGGCTGGGGATCAAACTCAGGCCATAGTGGTGATGGTGCTGAGACTAAATCCTTAGGCCACCAGGGAGGCCCTCCTGGGATAATTTTCCTCTGTCTGAGCATCTCCCTTTAGAATTGCTTTTCTTTCTTTCTTTCTTTTTTTTTTTTTTTTTTTAAAGATTTATTTATTTATTTATTTATACAAGCACTGGGTACAGTTAGAATCGTGGGAGGGTGAGAGAATTCACCAGAGCCAGAGCGGGGAGCAGAGCAGGCAGAAGGACCCAAGTACACTGCTGAGGGGAGCAGCGGGCGGCAGGAGAGGTCTGCGCGCCATGTGGGACCCTCCTCTGGTGGCCGGGGAGCAGCCGGGGATCGAACCGGCACCGCAGAGGCTGCGGGCAGCTTAGCAACCCAGAGCTCAACCGCTGCTCCACCGGGAAGGCCCTAGAATTGCCTTTCTTAATTTCACCTTTTTTGTTGAAGTATGACCAAGGATCCTTGGTGGGCCCTGAACTCCAGTTTTTTTTTGTCCAGTCCTCTCAGAACACTCAGTCGCTCAGCCTTTTGGCCACTGCACATGAATTGGCCAGTGTCTGGGGAGAGCCGCTCCTGGCCAGGCTCTCGTCTCCATAGTCCTCTTCTTTGCAGGATCTTTACCTTTGAAGACATCATTGCTCTTCTATTTCTCCAGATGTTTAGTGTCTTACCCAGATGTTTAATATACCTATTCAACATTATTGTTATTTATTTTAAAATATTTAACATTATTATTATTTATTTTAAAATATTATTATTTAATATTTAATAATGTTTTGCCAAGTGTTTGGCTTTGCTGGGGAGGTTCATTTGCAGCAAGAGAGCCTGTTGTTAGGAGGATAAGAAATCTTACCATGTTATTTTTTTTATTTTGCAATCCTGACTAATGGCTGGGGAATGTTTTGAGTATGTGGAAATCAGTATTATCTACATTGCTCTCACTTTCCTCCACTATTAATATGCACATAAATGACTAGATGTGTGTGTGCATATGGCCATGAACACATGTGCATGTGAACATACGAGGCGCATGATATGAAGGCACACACAGGATCTTTTTTCCTTGTCCATTTGCAAAAAGAATAGAAAACTCCCACTTGTCAGCTACTTCCTGAGGTTTATGTCATTGTTTTCTGAATTATTTTCTTTGGTGTTTGAATGTCCCACAGTGTGATAATATATTATTTTCTGCTAAAATGGTGTCAAAGTCTACAAACTGTGTCTCTCTTGGAGACGCCCAACATACATAAGGGCATTAAAACCTCTGAAACATGTACATTTATTTCATGATGAAATTCTTCTTGGCTGGGGGGAGAGAAATACCTATCTCACCTATAGCTAAATCTTGGGAGACACTGCCTTATAGCAAGCTTAAATGCTAAGTCCAGAAATTCCTACACCTTTGAGTATCTGGGGTTCAAGGATCTTTCATCTTCAGAAAGATGAACTGCCATCCAGTGTTTCCTCAAATGTGGGTGCCACGAGGAGAGACTCAAGAGTGTTCCCAAATCCTCAGCTATTGGGTTTGGAGGTCTGGGGTTTCTTGGCTGCTCAGTGGCTAAAAAAAAGAAGGCTGAACTTGGGGACACACTCATTCCCATGCTTTGTCTGCTTGTGTCTCCTTGAGTCAAAACATCTGCTTGGGGTCCGGTGGCTCCAGCCCAGCTCAGCATGGGGTACCCAGCTGTGTTGTTAGCAATTGATTTTTGATTCTCATAAGACCAAACTCTCCCTTGCTTCATCTACCTCTTGGAGGTCTTGCCGCCCCCTGTACAGGTGAGCGGGTGAGACAGTTGTGACGGAATACACAAAGCTTCTGCTCAGGAGCCAAGAGGCCTGGGGTCAAGTGCTGGTGCTGTGTGACCTTGGGACAGTTAACCATGGAGTAGCGGGTGAGAGCACGAGCTTTGCTGTCAGACACACTCAGCCCCTCCACTTTTTTACTGTGTGGTCAGGGGCACGTCACTTCACCTTCCTGCACCTCTGTTTCCTTTCCTGGCAAAAGGGCATTCCACTAACACCCACCTTACCTTCTCTTTGTGAGAAGGATACAAGATAAGTGCATGTTGACTAGAATGCTTGGAACATAGTAGGCACCTGGCAAAGGTCAGTATTAGATTATTTCATTCGTCTTGGCTCCTTCATCTGGGCTTGAGGCGAACCCTACCTTCTCCTGATGTTGAGGCTCAAATAGAATCTTGAATATGAAAAGAGTTTTGTAAATACTTGGAGACGAAGGGAACTCTGGGCAGTGTTTCTCATTTCTGCCTTGCTGCCGCCTCAGCCCTTCTGACTGGGCAGCGTGTGGGGGACCACAGCCGCCGCCGTCTCTCCTCTCAGGCAGATCCTTTTCTCCATTACAGAACATTGGCAAGAAGATGTCCTGCCAGCAGTTCATTGCCAACTTGGACCAGCTGAATGACGGCCAAGACTTTGCCAAAGACCTGCTGAAGGTATGACCTGCTACGTGTCCCACATCCCAACTGTGCCAGAGGTGGGTGGTGAGGAGAGAGCTCCCTGCCGCGCTAGACCCCGACATCCCAGAGCCGTAGTACTGGAGTCAGGACCTCTATGACTTTGGGGCTGAGTTTACTCTTATGTGTGACCTGAGTTAGGTAGAGGGGGTAGGCTTTGTGAGATTTACTCTTAGTGTTCAGGTACCAGCACTGCTGTGGTGGTGATCATCAGGACTCTGCCAGTCTCTCACAGCTGCCACTGCCATCACTACCACCTTGACCACCATCACGATCACCGCCACCACCACTATCACCATCATCACCACAGGGAAACGCCCTCTCTTTCCTCCAGCATTACCAGAAAATCAGGAAATCTGGTTTTCTTTTGAGGCATGAGCCCATGGTAGAAGTCCTGTCTTTCAAGTCTGGTTCAGGTTTTGTCCTTGGAGAGAGAGGAACAGTTTTTTTTTTTTCTGAGGTGGGGTAGATGATGAGATCAGTTTTTGATGGTGGGTTTGAAGGACCCGGTGAAACAGGTGGACAGTGGGATGGTGAATCTGCAGGGTAGAAAATAGGAGATTGTCCCCATCACTCTACTTACCATGGCCATCACCTTCACCATCAAGAAGCACTTAAGAATATATTTGTAAATGAGATGAAATTAATCTCCGTCTCACCACCCGCTTGTCTACATCTCCCCCATCCTCTACCCATCCTCCCATGCGGTCATCCTTCCCTTCCCGCACCCACCAGCTCAGTCATTCACCTGCATACACAGCCGTCCATTCATCCATCACCCACACACGTACACCCCACGATCCCAGGCCGTCTCCCATACATTCTCCACATCTGCTCACATCTACTCATCTATCCAGCCACCTGCCAGCTTCCCCCAACTAACTGTCCACTACCCCATCATCCGGCCACTCATGCTCAAATCTCTCCACATCTACCTAGTCATCTACACAACCATCCACCTACCTGGCCCGCATCCACTTCCCCATCCAACAAAGGTGTGACTCAAACGCCGGGGCAGAGGTGTGCTCTCACTGCATCCTCGTTACTAGAGGTAGATGAGATTTTGTGTCTGAACCTCCTCTCTCTCTCTCTCTCTCTCTCTCTCTCTCTCTGCCCTTCTCCCAGGCCCTTTACCACTCCATCAAGAATGAAAAGCTGGAATGGGCCATGTGAGTAGTGGCCGTGGGTACGGGTCTGGGGAGACTGAATCACGGGAAGGGGGAAGGGGGAAGGCGCTCGCCACTCTCCATGGTGCTGATCCCTCCCAACCCGGGGTCCTGTGATTCCTAGGCAGCTGGTCAGCACCTAGTGTTGAGTCCCCCTTTGGGTTCTTTTCCTGTCCTGATGTAATGTGCAGTGTTTGTACTGCCATGGAGTAGGTTGAGCTGTGACTTTAGTTCACAACTGGATTTCTGTACTGGGGACGTTGCTCTTTTTCCCCTGTGGGAGGTAGGTAGGCAAGAGTCACAGGGTCCCGCTATAACCCCAAGAATATGAACATGTTTAGGTGGGAGCCGGTTTTGGCAGCAAGGAGATATGACTGCCCCCTAAATTCTTCCTTTGTGAAGGTAGTGAGACATGGAGGTGCCCAGCCATCTGTGGTGACCTTACTGATTAAAGAGAGGGACTTCTGGGGAAAGTGACCTTCCTGCCCTGCTGTGCAGCCCAGGGCAGCACCAGTCTTTGCATCCATATAAGGACTGATAAGAGCACCAACCCCACAGGGAAGACGTGGCATATATTTGCCAGGCTCCAAGGGGAGCCTAGAAGGTAGGGGCCTTGTCTGCTGGCCCACCCTCCCCCTGCAGGCCTGTGAGGCTTGGGCAGCAGCTTCAGTCTGGATGTGGGTTATTGCTGGACAGAGGAGAAAAAAGAGCAGGAAGGAGGCCTGGAGATGCTAAGGTCTCCAACTTTGTGATCAAAGGGTGAGGATTGGAGCTTGGAAAGCTGCAAATTAAAGGTCAGAGGTCAGGGGTCAGCACTGATGACTTTGAGGGATTGAAGAACTGGATCTATGATCTGGAACTGGAACCTCCTCATCTCTGCGCTTTGCCTCCAACTGGTTCTAGAAGGGTGTTTGGCAGGGAGAGGGCATGTTGATGCGAGGCCCAGGGGTGCTCAGACCTAGTCCTTTTGTAGTGATGAGGACGAGTTGAGGAAATCCCTGTCTGAGCTGGTGGATGACAAGTTTGGAACAGGCACAAAGAAGGTGACTCGGATCCTGGATGGTGGCAACCCCTTCCTGGATATCCCACAGGCGCTCAGTGCTACCACCTACAAGCACGGTGTGCTGACCCGGAAGACTCACGCCGACATGGATGGCAAGAGGAGTGGGTGTCAGGCGGGAGAAGGGGCGTGGGGAGGGATGCTGGTCTGGAGGGGGCCTGGCCCCTTGGCCACTCCTATGGGGATGCACACCCAAGACATGTAGCGGGGATTGTGGGGAGATATTGGTGGTTTCGGCCACACTACCCGTGCCCCCCTCCCCAGCGCCCCGTGGGAGGCGTGGCTGGAAGAAATTCTACGCGGTGCTCAAAGGGACCATCCTGTACCTGCAGAAGGTGAGAGGCTCTGCAGTGCCCTTGCCCAGGCAGCGCCCCCCAGTTCTCTGTTCAGCCCCTGCCTGTGGGTGTGCAGAGGGGCACCCAGGGCGGGCGGGACCTGGGCTGAGGCAGATGGCTCGCTTCAGAGGCCTGACTCAGGCTCAGCCGGGCCTTGGCGGTGTCAGGACGGGACTCTGAGGATACCCAGTCAGTCCTGTGTAGGGGGTACAAACCCGGGTGCAGGGAGGACTGTTTGGTGTGATTTTGGTTGGGTGGGCTGGTGGCAGTTGGAGCTGAGAAATGGAGGGAGATATTGGGACAGAGAGAGGGGTTGGGGCACAGAGAGGGAGGACTGCGAGGGTGGGGGATGTGTGCGCCCCTAAGGGAGCCTGGCAGTGAGGTTGACTAGCTGCGCCCCCACCTGTCCAGGACGAGTACAGGCCTGACAAAGCTCTGTCCGAGGGCGACCTGAAGAACGCCATCCGCGTGCACCACGCGCTGGCCACCAGGGCCTCCGACTACAGCAAGAAGTCCAACGTGCTCAAGCTGAAGACAGCCGACTGGAGGGTCTTCCTCTTCCAGGCACCGTGAGTAGGAGTGGGAGCCCCCTCATTCCCTCTCTGGCTCGGGGGCCGTAGCATCCAGGCCGCACCACTCCCTCCTCGCCTGCCTCGGCTCCCCTTGTACATTAACTGCCTGAGCCAAACCAGCAGCTGCGGCCCCTAGAGCCCCCGCTCTCCAGTGTGGTTCCCTGTGTCTCCTGGAACCCCGCTAGGAAAGCAGTTTTCCTGGCCCCACCTTGGACCTGCTGAGTGAGGAGCTCTGGGACCGCCAGCCGTTAAACGTGGCTTTCTTTTTTCCAGTTTTGTTGAGAAATAACTGATGCCCATCTCTGCCCATTAAGATGCTGGGTGATGGCAGGATTTACATACTGAGGCGAATGGCCATTCAGCACAACTGTCTTCTCTAGATACAATAAAAAGAAGAAAAAAGAAAACAAAATGTCTTCCTCTAATGAGGACTCTTAGGATTTTCTCTCTTAACAGTTTTCCTTTCTATCATAGGTGTGTTAGCTGGGGTCCTGTGGCTGCACACAGTGCCCTAATACTTATTCCTCGTAAAATTGCAAGTTTGGACCATTTAACCTACTTCCTTCAACCCCCTCCCCCAACCCCGGCCCTGATAACCCCGGATCTGGTCTCTTTTTCTATGACTTTGTTTCTATTTATTTATTTATTTATTTATTTAAGTTTTATTTATTTATGCGTACAAGATCTGGGGTATAGGCCAGAGGTGTGGGGGGGGGTGAGAGGATTCACCAGAGACAGAGTGGGGAACAGAACAGGCAGACTGACTGAAATACACTGCTGAGGGGAGCAGCAGGCGAACCAGGAGAGGTCTGCTGCACCATGTGGGTAGCTTCCTGGCCAGGGATCGAGTTCATACTGCAGAGGCTGCGGATAGCGTCATAGATTGTGTCTTAACCCCTTGCGCCACCAGGGAGGCCCATGACTGTTTTTAGATCCACATGTTAGGGATATCAGACAGCATTTGTCTTTCTCTATCTGATTTATTTCATTTATCACATTGTCCTTAAGGCCTGTGTTCTTGGTTGTCAGCCTCCTTGTTTTTTTATTTTTTAAAGATTTATTTATTCATACAAGAATGTTGTACAGGCCAGAGGCGCGGGAGGGTGAGAGAATTCACCAGAGACAGTGGGGAGCAGAACAGGCAGACAGACTGAAAACACTGTTGAGGGGAGCAGCAGGTGAGACAGGAGAGATATGCCACTACCATTTGGGTAGCTCCCTGGCCAGTCGGGAATTGAACCAGTGCTCCAGAGAATGCGGACAGTTTCACAGAGTTGCATTCAATGTGCTGTGCCACCAGGGAGGCCCCTAGCCTCCTTTTTTTTTTTTTTTTGGAAAGATTTATTTATTTATTTTTACAAGACCCAGGGTACAGGCCAGATGCGTGGGAGGGTGAGCAGATTCACCAGAGACAGAGTGGGGAACAGAACAGGCAGACTGACAAAATACGCTGCTGAGCGGAGTAGCAGGCAAGGTCTGCTTGCCATGTGGGACCCTTACCGGCTGGCAGGGATCGAACCGGCGCTGCAGAGGTGGTGGACAGCTTCACAGCCCAGCGCTCAACCGCCTGCGCCACCAGGGGAGGCCCTGGCCTCCTTGTTTTAACAAGCCTGCAGGTGATTCACATTTAAACCGAATCCCTAAACGTGGGCCGATGGCTCTTTATGAATCCTCCTCCACTTTGAATGGGGAGGGGCAAGAAGGAAAGACCCACCTTACAGTTTCCCTCTGGGCCTTGCACCCACTCCATGCACCCCATCCCTCTGTGACTTGAGGTTGGGGCTTCATGTGTCTCATGAGCCTGAGAGGAGCGGGGCTAGTTGGACGAGCTCTCACGTAGCGTACACCTCCCTGGGGAGGTAGGGACGGGGCCGGAATAGGACAGCCCAGTGGGGTCTCCGGGTGCCCAGCTGCATCTAGTGAGCCCCTGGATCAGGGGCCCTCGGACCCCTCAGCGCCAGGGCTGTTAGCACTGAGCTTGGGCAGCTTTATTTTCACATGGTGTGGCCACTGGGGCAGAAGGGGAGCTTGCTCACCCCAGCGACCCCGCCCATCCAGCCTGTTCCGCCAGCGTCCCTCCTTTCCCACCTGTGTGAGGTGTCCTCCCTGGGCCAGGAGAGGCTGGACAGTGGGTGCTGGGTCGGGGCTAGGAATCCTGTTGCGGGAAGCCCTCTCCTCCCACCTCCTTGTCCCCAGGAGCAAGGAAGAAATGTTGTCCTGGATCCTGAGGATCAACCTGGTGGCCGCCATTTTCTCAGCCCCCGCCTTCCCGGCCGCGGTCAGCTCCATGAAGAAATTTTGCCGGCCCTTGCTGCCCTCCTGCACCACGCGCCTCTGCCAGGTACACCCTGTCAGCTTCATGGCACCGCCGCCCGCCAGGCCCCCATTCAACACGCTGCACCTCGCTCCTTCGCGGTGCCTGGGCCTGGCCTCAGAGACAGGCCAAGAGGCAGACATTGCTCTGGTCACCCCATGGCGTACCCCCACAGTGGGGGTCTGGCTGCACTGCGGTGAGCGGGGCGCATGCTTATCTGTGAGTGACGTTGTCTCCACCTGTCCGGGTGTGACCTGGGCCGTGGTGCTAGTGTGGTTGGGTGTGAATGGGAGTGTGCAAATAGCATGGAAAGGAGGCTGAAGCCAGCCCGCCGCAGCCAGCGGGTGTGTGTACACGAGAGTCCATGTAAGCCGGGAGCCCTGTGTCTGGTGATTTTGTTGGTTTGGGGGTGTCTGTATGTCCGTACAATATGGGGGCTCAGGTCCTGAGCGTCCTGAGGAGAGCAGGGCAGGAAGGTGCGGGACACCCCCTCGGATGCAGGACCTGGCTTTACCCGCACGTATGGGCCGGCCCAGGTCAGGCCCGCTTCCTTTGGGAAAACATCCTGTGGGACAGGACAGGCTCGGCCCAGGACGTCCCGAGGGTGGCCTCATCGTCCAGGACTTGTCTCCGCAGGAGGAGCAGCTGCGTTCCCACGAGAATAAGTTGAGGCAGGTGACGGCGGAGCTGGCCGAGCACCGGCGTCACCCGGTTGAGAGGGGCAGCAAGTCCAAGGAGGCCGAGGAGAGCCGGCTGAAGGAGCACTATCTCACGTTTGAGGTGAGCCCTGCCGGGGGCGGACGGCGAAGGCCTGGCGGAGGAGAGGCTCGCTCCCCTGCCCGCTCCCCCGCCCACGTCAGCCCCCGGCTGGGGCTTTCCGTCTGGGGCTTCCCCCCTTAGGGCTCTCTTGAGGCCGTCGTGAGCCGGGTGTCCTGCGGTCCGCACGCACGGCTGCCCGTTGCTGGTCACGGGTCTCTTAAAGAGCCCCCGCTGGGCTTCCTGTCCCCCTCATCCCCCACGGGCCCCTTCTTTCTGTCTGTCCCGTTGGCCCCCAGCCCGAGTCCCCCAGCCCCCCGCGTGGGCCGGGCTGGCGTTAGAGTCAAGCAGCTCCGACGCTGCTCAGGGGCGTGGCCCTCCTGCCCGTGCCGCCCGCCCTGGGCGGCGTCGAACGTCTGAACCGTCACCGCTTGGAAGGTGTAACAAGTCGCGTATTGCTGTTTTATTTTGGATTAAAATTATTTTTCATTGTGATAAAACACACGCAGCGTGATTTATCGTCTTAACCATGGTTGAGCGGGCAGTTCAGTAGCCCACGTCCCGGACTTCAGGTTTCCCAAGTGAAGCTCACTGAACGCCGGGTCCTCAAGCCAGCAACCCCCTTACCCTCCCCCTCACCCCCACATCTGAGTTCGACTAGGAACTTCATCCCGAATCTGGGTTTTGGGGACCGGCTTTTGTCGCTCAGCTTCAGGTCCTCGGGCGTCGGGTCTCCCCGCGTCTGCAAAGCTGAGCCGTCGCCCCGAGGCGTCCTCAGGGCATGTCCCGCCCTTCACCTGCTGCCGGACCCGCGCTGCTTTCAGCTTTCGCCTACGTTGACTGATGCTGTGAACGTGGGTGTGCAAATATTTCTTTGAGGCCTTGCTTTGAATTCTTCCGGGTCCAGTATTGCTGGATCGCAGGGTAACATGTTCACTCTGAGGAACAGCCACCCTTCTCCACAGAGACCGCTACACCCGCAGCGGTGCCCAGGGCCCCGGCCCTGCAGCCTCTCCGGGGCCTTATCTGTTCTTGTCTCGGGAGCAGTGATTCAAAGGGGAGCGAGGGTCTTGCTGTGGGTGTGATTCGCTTCTCACCATCAGTGACAGCGGGCGTTGTGTTTGTGCCCACTGGCCGTTTGTGCGATTCCGAGAGAGAGAGAGCTGTGGGGGGCCCTTGCCGTGGTGAAGTTGGGGTGTTGGTGCTGAGGAATAGCGGTCTGTGGTGTGTGTTCTGGACTCTGGCGCTTCTCAGACGTGTGGCCTGCAGATACTTCCTCCTGTTCTCTCCGCTGCCTTTTCACACTCACTCATTGTGTCCTTGGATACACAAAAGTTTTTAATTGTGTTGTAAAGCCATTTGTCTATTTTCACTTTTGTTGCCCGTGCTTTTAGGGTCATATCTGAGAAGTCGTTGCCGATTGATTTGGATTTTTAATATTAGGAGTGAAATACCGGCTTCTCTCGCCTATGTGTTTATTGGATGATTTCCAGTTGTATCCTTTTTATTGATTTGCGAGCTCTCTGAGAATTAAGGAAATTAATCTTGAGTCATAAAAGGTACAGAGAGCTTTTACATTTTGTCATTCTTTTGACTTTGTTTTTTGCCTTTTCTGCCCTTTCCCTAGAAAAGCCGTTACGAGACCTACATCCACCTCCTGGCTGTGAAAATCAAAGTGGGCTCTGATGACCTGGAGCGGATTGAGGCCCGGCTGGCCACCCTGGAAGGGGATGACCCTTCTCTCCGCAAGACACACTCAAGCCCTGCTCTCAGCCAGGGCCACGGGACTGTGACCGGCAGCAAAACCGCAAAGAGTGCCAGTGGGCCTGAAACTTAGCCGGCAGGATGGGAAGGCCCAGAGGCCAGCAAATGCCCCCAGAGGGGCCAGTGAGCACAATTCTAGCCAGGGGGCCACCGAGACCAGCCCCAGGCAGTTGATGGGCAGCCGGCGGCGTGCAGAGAGCCCCACAGACCGAGGAGATGGAGATATACTATTTAGGGCATTGATCTTCTTACATCCTGGGCTTCTCCGGGCATGGGGCCTTCTCCTGGCCCTGGCATCCCTGCCCACTGTGGAGCCTAATTTTGTAGGCCTGTTTTGTGCATGCTCTAGACACCATGTCACTCATGTCACCAGAGGAGCGGGAAGAGCTGTTGATTTGGCAGGGCCCCCTCTTCTCACAACGTCCTCTCCCCACCCCCCTTGTTTCTGAGGGCAGGTCATCCCAGGTTTCGGCTTGGACCCTACCCCTTCTCCTCCTCCCTCTGAGTTGACCAGCAGCGGTTCTGCAGACCACCAGCACCGTCCTCCTCCCTCCAGCAGCCTCTGGAACGTCCTGCGCTCCTGCCTCACGTCACAATAAGGCAGGACCTGGGTCTGCTCCCTCAGTGCCAAGTGGTCTGCACATACGTGTGTGCCCACCTCACCTTCATCCATTGAGGTCACCACTGTTTTCTTTTATACGGACATAAATGTATATGTATAAGAATTATATGTATAAGGAGCCACTTTAAAGATGGCTTTGGAACTGCTATCAGCGGATGAGACGAAGGAAAGGCCTGTCTCAGAACTCCGCCCGTTACCGAGAGGCTGCTCTGTTCCATGGCGGCCCGAACCCTGGGAGCCCAGGTGGAGAGAGTGCTCACCTGCTCCCCCCCCAGTTTCCCCTCTTGCGACTGACCTGTGACTTACTCTGCTGTTCTAGTCGATGCTTTGAAATAGACATTGTGTGTCCTGTGCCAGCTGTCTGTCCCGCAGGCATCCCAGCGTGAGTGGAATGGAACCATGGCCCTGTTTATAATCTTCTGGTCTTTGTGTTGGTGCTGCCGGGTCTCTGAGTGCTGGACGTGGCGCTTGTGCAGCTCGGCCGCAGGAGTAAAAGACGCTCTACCTTGCTTCGCAACAAGCCCCAGGACCTGTGGCGGGGGAGGCTGTGGAAGGCATCAACTCTTGCTCTCGGGAAAAGGTGGAATGACAAGTGGCTGATTGTTTTCTAGGCCGATGTTTCTTTCACTCTTCTAGTGACTCAGAACACTAGCGAAGGACATGTCTGGGAAGAAGAGCAATTTGTCGCGTGTGACCACAGACTAGTTTCCTTAAACTCTGCATTCCTCAGACTGACAAGCGAGGCGGGGCGATGGGACCCTCAGCGCAGCTATGAGGAGCAAATGATATTTTTTAAACACATTGCTGTAGTTTGGCCAGCAGTTTGACCTCCATGGTGATATATTTAGTTTATAAGATAAGCCACCCTTGCAAGTAAATACCCAACATTTACAAGCCCGCTCACACTGGCTGCAAGGGGACGTGTGGGTCTATGGAGAGATGTAGTGAGTTAAATCCAGATGATTGAATTTGGATCCGTTTAAGTGTATTTTATAACCAAACCATCTGGCCCCTTTGTTTCGCTGAAGGGAAGTAAGTGTTCTTTTAAATGAAATGGGAAGAGCAACGCGGCAACCTGAAAGAGCTCTCTGTGTTTTCTCCACGGCTACCTCAAAGGTCCCTTGATTTTTGGGGTCAGCTCCCATCCTCCACCGCGTGCCGGCGAGTGAGCGACCCGGAGCAGCGAGCTCTGTCCGCCGCAGACAGATGTGCTTCCCTAAGCACAAGTTGTGCCTCCCAGCAGTGAAAAAATTTTTAGTTCACTTTCTTAATTGTATAATTATTTATTGTAAATTATATACATGTACTACTGTACTAAAATATTATGTACATTATAAAACATACACAAAAATAGAAATTTAAAAAAGATGAGATGAAAATAAATCTAAATCAAAGTTCTAATTTTTTTCCTGCATTCTAGTGGACCGTCGCGTTCCCCCACAACCTCTGCCCTTTCTGTATATGCCCGTTTCCAGCACAGTCCAGTCCCAGGGCTGGAGGGCTGACCGTGAGATGCCATTCGTGGTTTGGGTGGCAAGTGACCCCGGGCTCCTGGGCTCCTGGGGGCTGACTGTTGACAACAGCGTCTCTTGAACCTTCGTCTTCTCATGCAGTGAAGGGGAACCGCGCTGCTTGCTGGGGATACTGTGGTGAGAAAAGGACTAGGTCAGTTTCCTGTCCACACGGGGCTCACAGTCTAGTGGGGCAGGGGGCGGTCACCATTACCAGAGGAGCTTCGGGAGGGCTGGGGAGACAAGCCAGAAACGGCCCGGCCGAGAGGAAGCAAGGGAGGGGTGGAGAGGAGTCTGACTAAAGCAGCCTGAATGTCCTTAGTGCTCCTGCGGGACTGGGTGACAGCAGCGAAGTCACGGGGCGGGGTCGTCACTTAGCCACCTCTCACGGGGCATACTGCAGTGGTCCCCAGGCACGGAAACTCAGAGGAGTGTGCAGAGGGGCCTCCTCTGGCCTCACCTCCTCCTAGATCCTACTCATACCTGTGGCGGATACAACCAGGAAGCGGCAAGATACTAGATTAGATTCTAAATTGTGGGGCAGGCAATGAAAGCGGCAAATGAAGTCATGTGATGGTCAATACGCTCACTGAGTGGTCGGTCTTAATTACCTGGGGTCACGAAAAGATCAGTGAGTTCATGGAGTGGTCAATCTTAATTACTTGTGGTCACGAAAAGGTCAGTGAGTTCACCAAGAGGTCATTGGGGTCATAGAGAGGACATGAGCGATTTTTCTGATTCAGAAGTTAGAAAGTGAGAACTCACAGGTCAGTGGGGTCACGCAGAGGTCAATCTTAAATACTTGGGGTCATGAAAAGGTCAGCGAGTTCACGCAGAGGTCACTCTCAATTACTGGGGATAAATAGTCAGAAGTCACATAGAGGAATTACTGGTTCTTAGAAGAATTTAGACCCAAGAACAAACTCGGAGCCAGAAGAAGGATCTGGGGGAGATCCTCAGGTTGGGACTGGGGAGGCTCAGTGATTTGTGGGTTTGTGTATTAACAGCATTTAGTTCATTTTTTTGTCTAGAGCTGGGGCTTTCCCAGCACCCCACAGTGTCTACAGCTTCAACTGGTTTTGCCATTCAGTGTGATTCAAGGCACAGCATATCGTCCTCGCCATCAAATTAGCCATTAATAGGCATCAAGTGCCAGAGGTAGCCCCGGGGGTGTATGTGTGTAGTCTCCACAGCAGCCCTTTGAGGTAGGTAGTAGTGTCACTGTGTCACAGCTGAGGAAACATGGGCCTGGAGCGGTGACACTGCCAGCGAGGGACAGAACTGGAATGTGAACTTAGGTCCTGCTGCTACCTGAGCCCCCTAAACTACAAGCCTCGCTGTCCTTCCCACATGTCGGTCTCCAAAATGGCCTCGCAGGTCCAGGGGGCCTTCGCGTGCAAGGGCACACGCAGCAGCCACCTGTGCTCTTTTGACAGAAGACTCCCTGGGGTCGGGCTAACCTGACGGTTTCTGGCTCTGGGCACGGGCTTAATAATCTATGGCGGCAAAGGCTTCTTAACCCTGGCCCTCCATCTGCTGTCTTCTGCCTGAAATCATGTACTCTTCACCAGGACTGCGGGTTTAGACAGGCCCCGGCTCGGAGGGGGTATAAAGCTGGGGAAAGCGCAACGCCCCGTGGGCTTACAAGCTGCCACAGCTGTGGCCCTCCTGGCAGCGGGGGGTACCCATTATGCCACCTTGCATGTCCAGACTTTGCCTGTGACATGCCTGAGGCCCCAAGGGTCATCTTGCCCCAGCTGCCCCAGTGCCAACTGCACACCCCTTCCCTTCTCACCCACCTAGGCCCGGAAACTGTTGCCTCAGTCCGGCCTCTGTAGCTCCAGGGCAGGAACCTGGCCCGGGTTCTGAGGCTGAGCTCAGAGCAGTCACTTGCGTCAGCCCCTTGGCCAGGTGCCCTGGCCGCCCTGGGGGGAGGGGGTCACCTGGTGAGCTTCCTGGAAGAGCGGGGAGGGTTGGGGTGAGGGAGCTGGAGGAGGGTCTTTTCCTCACAGGGGGCCCTCTCTAATGTGTGCACCCACATCTACCCCAGCCCGGGCCTCACCGGGTACCTTCGCGCCTCACCTGGGCCAGGCACACACAGTCAAACATGAGTTCTTTCTGATTTTATTTATCATATAAAAATGTTCAAGTGTCAACAGTCAGGAGTTTGGACATTTCAGGGCCGGGTTCCCATTTATTCCGGATTTCTTTTGAACAATTACCTTTCCGACAAATTAGCGGTGGACCCAGTTTTGGGGGGCGGGGCTGGAGAGGGAGTGGAAGTCGGAGGTGCGCCGAGGGCGGGGTCGGGCGGGAGAGGGGAGTGGTGTTACTTTATTGCTAAGAGGGGCGTCACATACACTGCCGAGTGGCTCTTCTTGGTCCCAGCGTGACCATGCATCCAACCTAGAGATTCTGAAATGCAAAGGACATGCAGGCGTAAAATAGAAAAGACGACCTGTAAACGAAGGTGCTGCAGAGGACGGAGGGGCGTCCTGGAGGCCCTGGGGGAGGAGGAGCCACGAACTTGGGGGCCCCGGCAGAGCTGCCCCCTCCCTGGGGCCGGCGGCAGGAGCCTGCTTCCTCAGCGCCCCCTCCCGTAGCAGCTGCGAGGAGCGGGGAGGCCCCTTCCCCGTTCAGGTTGCTGTCGCCGGGCCTGAGTCTCCCCCTGGAAGTTGCCTGACCTTCGCCCCGCCCCGCCGCAGGCCCGGGATCCCCGCCGCCCTCTCCTGGGGGGAGGTCGGGGTGCCCGGGCTCGAGACCGTGCCGGGGGCCGCGCGACGGCGTCCTCACGTCCTTCTTCGGGGCCGACCCCCCGGCAGCCCGCGCCCGCCCCGGGCACCCCACCGCGCGCCCCGCAGCCGCCTCGGGCCGGGCTCCCCCAGCCGCTGCCCGCTCGCGACCCCGCGTCCCGCCCCGCGACCCAGACGCTCTCCAGGAGCTCCGGATTAGCGAACAGCAAAAGGCACCACAATATAGGTTTCTAGTAAAGAGTCAAAAAATTGGCCCATCTCTCTTTGTGTTGGTTTTCCCGAAGCTGTAAATCAGGATGGTACATATAAATAGGTTCCCTATAAAAACGTCTTTGCCGTTAGCTAGTATTATAAGACAATTTTTGCTAAAGTGAAAATAAAACATTTTGTTATACCTTTTTCCTTTTATAGAAAATAAAAATATTTTTATTTCTTTGTCTCCTGCTCCCTCGCCAGCCGGCGGGCTCCGCTCCGCGTGAGGACGGGGGCGCGGCGGGCGCGGGCCCTAGAGGGGCGCCGAGGCCTGCGGGGCGCGCGGGGGCGGCCCGCGGCTGTGTCTGCTGGCGGCGCGCGCGCCGCGGCTGTCCGGGGAGTGGTAAGTCCTGCTGTCGGCCGCGGGGCACCGCGGCGGCGAGTCCGAGCGCAGCGCGTCGTGCGCGCCGCGCAGGCCGAGGAAGGGCGTGCTCTCGGCCGCCAGCGCCCCGTCCGCGTCGTCGTCCGAGGCCGAGGCCGAGCCGCCGCCCGAGCCGCTGCTCAGGGACAGCGAGTCCCGCGCCGCGCGCGCGCGCTGCGCCGCCAGCCCGTTGAGGCGCGAGCGGCGCCAGCGCCGGGGCCCCGCCGACGTCCTGCGGGACGCGCCGCGGGCGCGCGGCCGGGGCGGCGGCGGGGGCGCGCACTCCTGCGTGGTCTCGTACTCGTCGTCCTCGGGGATGCGGAAGGGGCTGGCGGGCAGGCTGCCCAGGCTGCCGCCCAGCGCGCAGGCCCCGCGCCGCGCCCCCGGCGCCGCCGCCGGGTAGTAGTAGCTGTCGTAGCTGCGCTGCATGTCCGCGCCCGGCCCGGGCCCCGGGGCGCCGCGTGCCGCAGGAGCGGCTGCTGCTCGGCCAGGCGGTAGCTGATGGGGGCGGCCGGCGGCAGCGACACGGCGTGCGCCGAGTTGGGGGACGTGATCTCGAAAGTCGGCACCTGCGTGGCCAGCGAGTAGTGGAAGTCGACCGGGGAGAGGCGCGCGGGCGTGGTCAGGGCCGACACGTACCTGCGGGGAGAGGAGGCGTCGGCGCGGGGCCAGAAGAGCCGCGGGCCGGGCAGGCTCCCCAGGCGGCCCCGGGCGCACCGGCTCCTCTCGCCCCGCGCGCCGCGCGCCGCCTGCCCGGGGCCGCTAGAGGGCCGCGCGAGGTGGGGCCGGGGCCCCTGAGGCTCCAGCCTGCGGTCGGGAAGCGAGGACGTTTCCAGGTTGTCGCCGCACCCGCTGCCGCGGTGTCACCACCGGTGGGCAGCGGCCGGGCCCGCGGGCGCTCTCGACTCCTGGCCCTGCGGCGCTGCCAAGTCCCGCGAGTCCACCTCCCGGCCCGGCCTCCCACCCGCTCCAGCTTGTCCTGTTTCTGGTGGGGCCTGGGCCTCCAGGTGGCAGCGGGGTATGGGCTTCCTGCGTTCCCCGTGTCCGGGATACCCGGATGTTCAGTAACACCCCCTTCTACTCTGAAAAGCGTCCCAGTGGGACGCGTATGGTGACACCACCCCAGGGCCCGCTGGCCCTGCCGAGGCCCCAGTCTGTCATTAGCACGCAGACTCCAGCAGATTTTACCTGTCTAGGACCTAGAGGGCCCACCTGAAAAATGGGCACGTGCCCCGGGTTTGTGGCGGGAACTGACCTCTCGCTGTGTGGAGAGTCGCGCAGGGAGTCTATGGAATCGTGGTAGGGGGGCACCGCGGCCCTGCGCCGCTCCTCCTGGCTGTAGGCCGCTGCCCTCCGTGCTCGGGCCTCCACACACGCTGGACTGTTGCATTTGCTGGTGCCCACTGATGACAGCATGATGCCCGACTGGGAGTCAGAAGTCAGGCTCTCAGAACGTTCCAGACTCCACGTGTGGCTCTCATGCCTGGGGAAAAGGGAGTTGAGGGGTCAGGAAGGGGCAGGTCAGCTCCCTCCATCCTTCCATTTTCATTCACCGCCCTGCACGCTCTGGACCCTTGTGCTGTAAGTGCCCCACCCTGGAACTGGGAGGAGGAGGACCGGCATCCTCTCTCGTCCTTCCTTCCTGCCACCAGCCTCCCTCGAGCCTCACCTGGGGGTGTCCTGACTGGGACTCCCCTGGTCCTCAGCCACCTAGCTCAACAGTGCGGCTCCAGTGGCCAATACATAGGAGGCCTGCCTATTCCACAGTCTCCCAGGGAAGGAAGGGCCCAGTGCGTTATTTCTTGAGCTTCTGTGCATCTGTGGACAGGCCTCCCACTTCTGCAGAGGAGGGGGCCACGGTGGATTAGGGTTCATTAGGCCGAGTTTGTGGACAAACAGGGGAAAAGTCATCAAATAGCTCTGGGTGACCGAGTTGGCACTTTATGCCAGATAAGTAATGAGGACCAAAAAAAGGAAAGATCCAGTGGGGTCTTGGTGATGCCGCTGTCCCTGAGACTGAGGACCCGGATGAACACGGGCGGTGGGTTTTGGATTGAAGCCCCCATCACCTGCTTAAGGGATCAGCTCCCGCAGAGCCCAGCCTGGCTGGGAGGTTCTGCTTGTGTCCCCAGGCAGGTGTGTGGTACGCGTGAGCTCAGGGGGCTGCCAGTCTGGGCGGGCCTGGGTGGTGCCCACCTGTGGCTGGAGGTTGGGGTGGCTGTGGAGCAGTGGTGAGAAGGTGAACAGGAGTGGCTCCCGGAGAAAGTGGTCTCAGTTTCCCTCCTGATGACGTGATCTGTGGCTGGCACGTTCTTGGAGATATACTGGAACAGACAGTTGGGGAGGAGTTAGTGGTGGAGTTGGCCCTCCTGCTGGGGACAGGGAAGCTAAAGGTTGGGGAGGGCGGTCCACTGGAAAGGTGACTCAGTATTGGGGCAGTGATGGCCTCCCCCCTCCCCCCTCACTTAGGAGGTGGACAAAGAGAGGCTAGTCATCAGGGTGAGGTGAGGCCAGGCTGGCAGGCAGGGCTGAGCAGGGGGTGGGCTGCCTGCTGCCCTGACGTCCTTCAGGACCATGAGGAGGAGCACTCAGAGGTTGGGAACACGACTCACATCTGCCATCTGGATCTCCTCGGGGTCCAGCCGGGGGTGGCTGGGCCCATTGGCCAAGCTCCGATTCTGATGCGCTGGGCACATGTTCTGCCGGAGGTGGTTGTGCATCTGCTTCCGCTGTTTTCTGCAAGGGGGTGGGTGGGTCAGCCTGGTACACCCAGCACAGTGTATCCGTTTCCAGGGCTCTCCCTCGGGGGACCTCTCTACCTCTGCCTGGGCCTGTTCTGCTGTCTGGGCTCAGGCACCCTCAGTCACCATCCCCTGCAACCATCAGCACCTGCCTGAATTCAGCAGGACCTGAGCACATTCGTGCTGGGCGAGCGTGGGCTCTGCTGAGAGAGTAGACACCACTACTTTCTAGCAACCCTGGGCAACTTAAACTCTCCATGTTTCCCTTTTCTCACCTGTAAAATGGGGTGATCACTTACCCAGTCCAAAGACGGTTGAGGATTAAGAGCACAGAAAACATTCAGGCACAGTGCTGGCCTACTTACCCACTCACTCACCCACCCAGTTACTCACCCACTTGCTCACCCCCCACTCACTCACTCACTCATTTATTCATTTGGTATTTATGTGTCTCGACAGGAGACAGAGCCTGTCCTCATGGAGCTTACTGGTGACTAGGGAAGGCCAGTGATACACGCATAAATAAATGAACAAGATTCTTCAGCCAAGAAAACAGGTTGCTGTGGTCAGAGAGTCAAGGCCTGTGGGGCTACTTGACTTTGGCACATATGAAGAGCTCCGTACATCTGTGATCAACAAGTCTGGTGCTGTCATTCCCTTGGCCTAAGCCCCTCCTTGGCCCTCGCTGTGGGCTCTCGCCGCCCTCTCGCTGCCCCAGCTGCTGCAGCCTTGGGGAGCTTGTGTCTGCCCCTTCACTGTGCCTGCCCACTCTGGCCTCTGGGCCTGTGTACATACTACTGTCCACCTGCAGCCCTTCACCTGCTACCTCCCGCCTATCACTCAGGCCCCATCTGAATGCTGCACCCGGAAGAAACACTCCCAGCTCTCCAGCTAAGGTGAGGCAGCCCTGAAGTGTGTTTGTGACCAAAAACCTCTTGCTTACAGCCCAGGCCTTGTGCCTGGTGCCCAGTAGGCGACGGGTTTGCCGAAGAAGGGAGTAAATGCAGTGGGCACTTGCCTTTCTCCTGATTCTTGGCCTTAGTTTTCCTTTTGGGGCCCCGTCTGTCCTTTGGGCTCTCTGAGTCCTACCTCCCTCTAAGGTTTCTGGTCCTGGACTCATGCAGAGCAAGGCTGCCAGGACCTTAGAGAGCATAGATGGGGGAGTAGGAGTCAAGATCTAGGGGCTCAGTCCCCCAAGTGTGGCTATGTATAGACCCTTGTTCTTGAGCTATAAAAGGACATGACACATTTTCCTAGCTCACCTCATTCTCCAACCTTCATTGGCTCCTGATCTGCAGGCAAAACTGAAGACGCCCAGCTTTGCATTCAAGGCCCTGCAGTGCCATTGGGTTCAAGCAGTCTTTCGGATTCACGTCCCTTTTTCCCTAACCCCAGCCCTTTTCCCGCTGCTCGTGCTCCAGGATCCCAGCTGACGCGCTCTACCTTTGTCCTTCAGCCTGCCTGCTTTACCCAGCTCCCAGCTCCCTTCTGACCTCCCATCTCCTTGTGCTGCGGTCTGTCCCCACCCTTCCTCTGCCCAGAAGTGGGCCCACCCCACCTCCTCTGTGGTCGCCCCTGGACTGCTCCAGGGTGGGACCGGCAGGGCCTTGTGGGGTCTCCTTCGACCCTGCCCATACAGCTTTCCTTTCTGTGCTGCCCACTCCCGCCCAACACTGCCTCAGTGCCTGCCTATGACGGGCTAGGTGCACCCCTGATACCCTTTGAGGTACACACATGCTAGCACGTTCTCAGTTTACAGATGAGCACTCAGAGAGGCGCATCAGTTTGCTCAGGGTTACATGGGAAATGGCACAATTGGATTCAAACCCAGATCTGTCTTCTTCCAAAGCATGTGCTTGTGACTGGTCTAGTTCAGTCTTTGGGGGCCCATCTGCCCTACCAACTCCCCTGCTTCCTGGCTACTCCTTTGGCCCCACCCCTGCTGCAGAGGTCCCAGAAGGGGCAGCTGGGGCTAGGAGGGTGCGGGGAGGCTAGGGCAGGTGTGCTAGGTGGGAAGAGAGCTTGTCCTCACACAAGCACCGGGGAGGCCCAACCCGGGTTGGCTGCCCAGGCGGAGTGCCACATGCTCACTTGGTCTTGCAGTAGGCGACCACGCAGACGATGCCCACGACGAGCAGAGCCACACAGATGCCGGTGATGGTCAGGACCCGCTTCTGGTATAGCTCCTCGGCTTCTGTAGAGGCAGAGGATGTGAGGAGCATGGCAGGAGGCAGACCCATGGGGACAGTGGTGCAGAGTCCCCCACAAAGCCCCGGATTCCCTCCAGCTGGGATCCTTCTAGGCTCCTTTCCCTCTTCCCCTCCATCCCAGCTGATCCCCTCCCAACTGCCCTTTCCTAGTTGCCTTCCGTGCCCTCAAACTCTACCCACCCTCAGGTCTGAGCACAAGCGCTACTCTGCGCCCCCCCTTCCCAAGCCCCACGCCCTGCCTGGAGCACCTGAGTGGAAAATGAGGTGGCAGGGGGGTGGGCGGAGGGGATGGCGGCGCTGGGATGGAGGTGAAGTTCCCAAGGCCATAGAGGAGGCAGCCGAGCGTGGCCATAACCCTGCCCATCCCACTATGGCCTGGTGGCTGCAAAGGGCCAAGACAGGCTGAGGAAGCCATTCTTCGTGATGGTGAATGGATAGACCCTGGGAAAAGTGTGGCTTGCTACTTCAGCCTCTCTGACTTGTTTTGACCTGGTGGCAGGACACCAGACCCAGAGGCTGGACTTAGTTGGGATACCAGGTCAGGAGAAAGACAGAACGCATGAGGTCTGACGAGGGGGTGACTGGAGAAATGCCTTTCTTTGTTTCTCCCTGCAGCCTGGCAGGGCTGCGGCCCTTGTCCACTCCAGCCTCTCACCTCAACTTGTGAGAAGGCCCCAAGCAGCAGCATAGCCCCCTGGCATCTAGGACAGGCCTGTGCTCAAGGAGCAGCCCCCACCCTTTCAGAGTTACTGAGCTAGGCTGGGCCTCTAAGTCCTCAAAAAGACCTGACCATCCCCTCCAGCTCCCACTTCTTGGTGGGGCAGCCCCTACCCTTCTAACACAGAGAAAGCCAGGAGGAAGAAGAGGAAAAGGTGACAGCACCAGTCACAGTCGGGCCTACAGCCTAGACCTCCACCCTAACCCCACCTGCCCACCTGGCTTGTCCCTCCCCTAGCGCAGGGATGAGTGGGCTGGACCCCAGTGCCTTGTGGAGCCCCCGGAAATGACCTAAACCCTTGGGCTTGCAGAACCTTCTGTGGCAGAGGGAGACCCGCCAGCAAATGCCCAGGACACACCCCGTACACCCACATGTTCGGGACTGTGGCTCTGACATGCAGACCCTTCACAGACACATGCTCTTACACTTGTCCAGGCAAGTGTCCAGAGAGTCGCGCGCACACAAATGCCACAGACACACAACCGCGTGGATTCTTAAATAGCCCTCCAGCCCAGACCCCCCACCTCGGCTCTGTGTCTGCATCCTGCATCACTCTCCAGTTGCCAAGTCCTTCGGTTACTTCCTTCCCTGTTAGGTGACCCCTCCTGCCACGCCCCCCCCTCACCACCCCCTCCCGCTCCCCCCCCCCCCCCCCCCCCGCAATCCCTCCTGGGTTTCCTCCTTCACTGGCCTGTTCTTTCTCCATCTCAGGGGCTGCTCCCTCATCTCTTTGGGCTGGCTAGACCGAAGCCCTGGTCCCACGCCCTCTGTCCAGGCCTGCTCCACCCTTTCCTGGTGGTCAGCCCCAGCCTGTTATTCTCCATGACTCCCTGTATCTCAGCCACGGGCAGACCCGTCAGGGAATTCTGATGCTCTCCCTCCCAAGTGCTCCCGCGCTGACCTCTTCCCACCATCCCTGCGGCCAACAGCCTCCTCCACCCGGGCTCCCCCCTGCACAGCGGGGCACCATCTGACTTCTGATCCTATTCCTTCACTTCTATTCCTCCTACCCTGCTCCCAGGAAATGTCCTAAGACATTGGGTTTCCAGAACTTTCTGTGGCAGAGGGAGACCTGCCAGCAAGCACCCAGGGGCAGGGTGGGTGGAAGCCATGTTCAGGACTGTGGCTCTCTGACACGCAGACCCAGTCTGTTCTCTGCCCTGGAGCCACACTGATTTACCACCATTGAGCATGCGCCTGAAAATTCAGGGGCTCCCCACTGTAATATGCATAAGTAGCTTTACCATGTGGTCCCTGCCTTTCTCTTAGATCTCATCTGTGGTGCTCGCCCCATGTCTGTTTCGCTCCAGCGGCACTGGCAGTCTTTCTGTCCTGAGAGAGGCATGCCCACTCCGACCACACCACCCCCACACCATCCCTAATGCGGAGCCCCCTGCCTCAGGCACTCTCCCCAGCTCTCTGAGGGCCTCTCAGGTTTCAGCCCAAATGTTCCTTTCTTGGACATCCCACAATTAGGGCCTCAGGTTGGGGCTGCAGGGCTCACTCCCCCCGCCCCTCGATCCCCAGTCCCGACCACTTGGAGTGGCCTCGCTCTCCTGGCCGGCACCGTTTGGTAACTTACTTTCTTCAGAGCACTTACACCTCCTGCTGGCTTTCTGCCTCACCCTGGGAATCTGAAAGGCAGGTGGGCAGGGACTCTAACTTGGAGGCTCAGTAAATGTCTGTTGACTTTGTGAGTGAATGAATCAAAGACACACATTCACAGAGGCTCATACCCACCCCCTTGCCCTGGCAGCTCTGCCTGCACGACACTCAGCCCTGAGCAGACATCCCGCCCCGCTCTCCATGTATGCGCATCCTGTACTGGAGCCCTAAGTGGGCGTAAGCACATCCACCCCCCCCACGACAACATACACACTGCACACCTACAGATTCACCCTTGTGCACCTGCCACCATCACACAGATCCCACACGGGCTCGACCCCTCTCCCGACCCGGTCGTGGTGTGTAGACCACACGCTTACACACAGACGGTGACTGAGCTCTGTTTTCTGTGGAGAAGTCAGGGGCTCGGTGGTAGGAGAACCAGGGCCTCTCTGAACCTGTCTCTAGAACATTCTTTTCATAACTGCAGGCTCACACCCAAGGCACAACCCCACCAAAGCCTTGACCCTCCGAACCCTGCTCCTCTCCTGCTGCAGTATGGCGGGACTCTTGAGGCTGGGCTGGACTCCCAGCACAGAGCCAGAGAGCTGCAAAGACTAACCCTCAAAGTCCTTTCCTGCCCAAGGGGGCAGTGTCGGGAGGGAGGTAAGCTTCTGAACGGGGAGGCAAGCACCAGAGGTCCCCCACTCCACACCCTCGCTGGTCTTGCCCACAGAAGAACACGTGTGCCATCATGGGGGCAGATCATGGAGGGAGTGACAGCCTCAAGCAGATGGCCAAGCCTGGCAGACATACACAGGGCAGGGGCGGAGACATACTCGTGTTACCAGCCGGGTGCAGGATGGACAGCAATGGCAATGGCAATGGGCACAGGGAGGAGGACTAAAGTCAGGTGGGAAGGCACGCCTCTCTGCACAGCTCTCCGAGCCAGGACCCCACGGCCTCTGGACACTGGCTCTCCAGGGCTCTGTCTCGTCTCGTCTGGTTGCACCATCTCAGGGGGCCCTCCCGGAGCACTGGGACTCCTAGTGACGGGCCCCACACTGGGGGTGCAGTCTGGTACCCTGCTGGTCATGAGCTTCGCTTGTCTCCCCAACATCAGCACAGTTTGTGATAGCACATCGTGATGGGGCCAAGGGAGACTTTTGGACTCATCCCTTTTCCGCTTTTGGGGAAAGGAAAACCAAATATCCAGCACACATGGTGTCAGAGGCTGCGGAGAGGGGCTGTGTGGATGGTGCTGAGTGACACATAGAGGCTCCGTACCCTTTAGTTCAAATCCAAGGTGCTCTGGCAGTGCAGAAGAGAGGCGGGTCAGAGAGGGGCAGGGATGGAGGGAGAGAGACAGATAGAGACAGAGACGGGGAGGGGGGAGGGGGAGAGAGAGAGAGAAACGTTGGTCAGGACTCTTCAGACACCGGCGGCCAGCCTGTGAGGTGAAAGCAGGTTAGTCATGTTCCCTCCCGGCCCCTGAGCTCCTGCCCTGGCACCCCGTCCCCAGGAGCACCCCCGAGAGGGGTGGAGAGAGGAAATGTGAGGATCAGCAGGCAGGGCAGGTTCTTTAGAGATGAGCTGTGGGGTTAGTACCTGGTGGGAGGCAGAGGCACAGGAGTCAGTTGGCAGATGTCCGGGGAGGAAAGGGGAGCAGGAGTGGGGGCTGCAGCATCCCCACTGCCTCCCTCCCAGCTCCACTGCCAGGCCCTCAGCACCCTCATGCCCTGGTGGAGACAGCTTGCCGGACTCCAAGCTCATTCCTAGGCCTTGCTCAGGAGGAGAGCACAGGGTACCCAGAAAGGCCCCTTGTCCCCTCCGGCCCCGCAGGCTGCGCTGGCCTGCCCGTCTACTCAGAGCCTGGGCACAGACACTGTATTTGAGGGGAGCAGGAAGGGGAGGAAGAGGAGGCTTCAGATGACAGGGGGCTTCTCCACGTGATACCCCCAACACCCTACAAACCTACTGGGGCTGGGTCACATGGTCCGAGCCTGCCTTCACTACTCAGAAAAGCAAACTGAACTCAAAGAGTTGAGTGGGTTATTTGTGGGACACGTGTGCCCCCAGTCTCCTGACAGCACTCTATGAAGCGGGATCATGTCAACAAGCCATTTTCTGGGCTTGTGGGGTACACACCCATGCCACTGAAGGGTTAAATCCAAGGGCCCTGCCTGAACGTCAGCTCTGCCACTGGCCCCTATGCCAAGCCGCCCAGCTCTCAGGATCTAATCTGTTAGGAGATCAGGCCTGGCTCTGGGGTCTCTTGGAGGTCTGCAACCAGGTTATGTTTCAGAATCATCCAGATGAGCAGAACCAAACAGAAGCCCTGAAATCTCAACAGTGCTTCTGGAAAGTTTATCTATCATTGTAACGGAGCAGCGAGTAGCCATCTGCAGGCTTTGAATCTCAGTTTTACCCTTAATTTGCTGTGTGGATGTGGGCAAGTCATAGTCTCTGCTTCCTCATCTGTAAAGAGCGCCGGCCTGCAGGGAGAGGCGCCGGTGCAGACCCGGGCAGTACGAGGCTCAGCACGCATGCAGAGGCCCGGCCAGTGAGCCCTAACTGCCCAATCCGCCTCCTCCCAATGCACGCAATAAGCTCGGCTAGAACCAGATTCTGATGTTTGCAATCCCCTCAGAGGGAGGACATCAGCAGGAAGTCCTATGCATTAGCCACCCTTGATCTCTCCTCTGATAGGGATTACAGAGGGTTCCGTGTTTAGAAAAGAGTAGGTGGAGCCAGGGGCCAAGACAGCTCTGACTGACAAGGCCTGGAGGAGATCTCTGGGATTCTGGACCCCAGTTCCATGCAGAAACCACGGTCTCAAAGAACTAACCCAGCCCTTCCCAACATGTGCCCTCTGCGCTCCTGTGAAAAGCCAGGCCAGGAGGGACTGCGAATGGCAGTCTTACTCTTACAGCTTGGAGGCAGGAGAGAGCTGCCATGAGCACTGTAAGTTCACTCTTCTAGGGCCTCCTGGGCTGGCCAGTACAAACTTGACAAACTCAAGGGTTCTTGGCAGCAATCAGTGAGTAGTTAGTTACTCTGTGGCCTCAGGGATCCTCCAGGCAGCTGGAGAGAGCTTGCATTGTTTGGCTTTCCAGTCCTGCTCTCCTGAGAGAGAATGGCCTGCTTGACCATGGTGCCCAGGATGCCGGTTTATAGGGGTGGTCTAGGCCCCACTTGGTGGTTGTATTAGCTGAGGCAGCAGGGGCTCAGTGGCGCTAAGACACTTTTCTGAGGTCACATAGCAAATAGGAGGAGGAAGGGAGACTGGAGGCCATGGCTGTTCCTGCCCCACTGACTCTGAGCAGATGTGACTGGCTATTTCTGAGGACGATGACCACCTGGAGAAGTAAGCAAGGCTACTAGAGCTATTTGTATTTTCTTCTGCATGGAAAACCAAGTAGTATCACAGCAGCTCTTGGGATTCCTGACTGATCTCCTTGAGGCAAACGACAGTACTGTTTTGGGTGGACCAGTGGTGATGGGCAGGACTGGTGATGCCACTGAGAGCTTGGTCAGTCACCAGGATGGCAGCCTAGCTCCCCTGTCACTGGGATGGAGTCTGAGTGGCCTGTGGCTATGTCTGCTGCTGCAAGGAAAATAGTCTCCCACTCAGCAGCCAGAATGGATTGGCATCACCGAATCACAGACAGGTTCTCCTGGGCAGAAGTTTGCATACTGACCAGTAACCATGGCGACCTGATGCTGGACTCCCAGTAGGGCCACGCTTACCAGACAATATGCAAAGTCTTCATCCTGCACGTGTCCCGGCATATATAGTCAGGGGGGCTGGACCCGAAGGCCACAATGGGGACCCAGGGCTCATGCTCGTGAGTTGGAGCAGGTGTTTGCAGGTGTGAGCATGCCTGTGTGCCGTGTGTGGGCATGTGAGTTTGGGCTTCTGTGTTTCAGCACATGCACATAGGTATGAGCACGTGGGTGTGTCTGTATGTGTGTACGTGACTGTATATGTGTGTGCGTGCCCAGCTGAGTGTGCTCTTTTACACGGAGGGATAAACAGATGCACAAGTTTTGACTCTTAGAAGTCAGAGGGGCTATTGTGGCCACAGTTTTCCCAGTCTCTGCACCAGGCAACCTGGTCTGGAGGTGACATCTGGGGAGTGTGGAGTCAGACACTTAGCTGGGAGCCAACCCTCTGGGGATCCGAGGCTGGCCCTCCTGCCACAGCCCTGCACCAACTCAGCTGTGTGAAGCAATGGCATAGGACCTCTGCTTGCTTCCTCTATGCACCATGTCATTTCACCCTCACAGCAACCCTTAGACATTTTTGCTACTCTCGCCCTTTCACAGATGAGAAAACCAACTGGGAAAGGTGAAATGAGGCCCAGAATTAGTAAACTCAGCTGCTGGCATTGTTAGCTGGCTCTATCTGAATCTAGAGCCTGAACCTTGAAGCTGTCAATGTTCACTACCTTTCTATTAATTATCTGGGGCTGGGGAAGGCTCAGTAAGGCTTCTGACTGACCTACCAGGGCAGGTAAAACTTGGATACAGCATGAAGCATCCAGAGTAATGTGCTTGAAGAGTATAAATCCTTTACCAAAAGGTAGGATAATTCATGTAGCACTGGCAGGAAGGCCTGGCTGCATTTCCAGGCTCTTTTCTGGGCTCCAGGGCGCTGACCCTCCAGCAGATCAGAACTGAGAGCTGAAGCAGCCTAGCTGGCAGAGAAGCCTTGGATGGTAGCCAAGTTCCACAGGTTCTGCGGCTCTGGTTCAGGATGGGCTGGGCCTCCCTGTCTACAAGAGTCCCATAGGCCTGGGAGGCTCTGGGCCTAGGGGTGAAAAGGGGTTGGTGCTCCATTGCCTCTCCCCCATGGTGCTCAGTGCTGCCTGACTGCTCTGGCCACTTCCGGGGCCCCTTCTCATTTATGGTGCTCCACTGGGACAGCATCTGACTCTGCAATTCTTTTTGGAGCCTGAGTTCTAGAGAATTCTATTGGGCTACATCTCCTGCAAACAGGCTTCAGCCTTATCCCCGTGGCTTTCCTCCTTGGCCTCTAACTGGAGAGGCCTGGGGAGAGGACAGACCCCCAGTCTATTAAGAGAGTCGACCGTCTGGGCTGACCAGCCCCCACTTCCCTCTCCAAGTCTTGGTTTCCAGGTTTCCTTCTCCAAGGAGAGGAAAAAGAGGGAGGGGGGAGTGGGTAGTACCAATTTCTAGGTTTTTGTGTTGTGGTGAGGATAACTGGCAAGGTTCATTTGTCCACCTTGAGACCCACGCTCCCCGCTACCCCAAGCCCTAAAATCCCTCTTCATCATAGGCTACCTAAATGGTCTGCTGGGTCTTGCCCTGGCATCTTCCGCACTCCACCCCTCAATGCCCTGGCATCATTGTTCTGTTTCCTCACAGCTCTTGGGACCTGGTGGTCCTCCTTGCAGGGGAGGAGGAAGGTGGGCGGAGGAGGGACCAAGTGTGCTCTGGGGGATGGATGACGAGGTCTGGTCTCACGGGCCAACTGACTACCAGGCCCCAAACATAGGCCATGGCTAACCAGTGGCTTCTCCTCGGCTCCACCTCCACCTGGTGGTAATGGAAGGAACTGCTCCCAGACCCACAATTAGGGCCTCAGGCTGGGGCTGTAGGGCTCACTCCCCCAACTTCACCACCCTCGTCCCACCATCAAACCAGAAACTCCAACCTTAGAAGTGGGAGAAGGGAGGGAATGAAGTCTTGAAGGGGACTCAGACCAGTGAGATCCTGGACAGTCACCAATTGCCCCTTGATTCCTCATTTCCTCCAGCTTTCAGCATCCACAGCAAGCTACCTGGCCCCGCCCCCAAATCCTGTAGCACATCGACTCCTGGGGTCTTTGGCATCATGGAAACCTTGCCCTGGGGCGTGTTCTCCCTTGATTCCCCCCTTGCCCACTCTTCCCCATCACCCCACACCAAAATAAAACAAACTCTGGCCAGACCCAAAGACAGAACTTTTCTCTCTCAAACAGACCAACACACACAAGCACACACTCCCTACCCGGCCCCCTCAGCAGCCTGACCTCCTCAAACAGGCTTCTGAGGCAGGTGAGGGCACTACAAATGCTTCCTCCCATTCTGGCCAGGCTGCCTGACCCCAGCAGTGGTGAAGAGGCCTGAGCGCGGTGCCAGCTGCTACATAGAGAATTTGGCGTATGGCGCCCAGGTAGCGAAGTAGCTTCTGAGGTGGGGTGGTGGAGGGTGGATGGGTCTCCTCTACAGAGGCTCTAGCCTCACTAAGCAAGGCCCCCGCCCTCCCACAGGGGAGACTGTCAGTCACCAGGGAAGAGAAGAAATAGAAGAAAGAGACATACTGGAGAAGTTGACCATTGCGAACTGCTGACACCTGTCCCCGGTGTATCCCACAGGACACCTACCAAAAGAAAGAAAACCAGAAAGAGAGAGCCAGGATAGCAAGACACAGGTATTGCAACACCCCGGCACAGGCTCCTGCCAATGCCAGCTGGGTTCCTTGCCACCGTTACCATTTGTACTGGCCTTGCCACTCTGCCCCTTACCTGTAGCCCTGAACTTTAAACCCAAGGATTAGGCCAAAAATGAAAAACAAAGCAAAACAAAACAAAACAAAAGAACTAACAAACCAAAATACAAAAAAGAAAAGAGAAACAAAACAGTAACAGCCAAAGATCAAAACAACCAACACCCCTGGCCCTACGCCCTACATCGGGGGGACTGCACCCGGAAGCTTTCTAAGGAGCAGGGACTCGTGTTTGTTTCTTCAAACATACTTTGCTTAGGATCTGGCATGTACAATCGCAAAGGCAGTTTCTCCAAACATCTCTGTCCGAAGAATCCGTTTGGACATCTGGAGAAGGAAAAGGGGAAAAATCACAGAACAAACTGGCATCATCCGCGAGGCTCAGGTTAGAAATCAAAGTGCACAGTGATGAATGAGAAAACCAAGTCAGGCGCTGGGGCACACTCGTCGCTGAAGGGGCTGGGGGCAGGGCTGGGTGGAGGGCTGGGGAATCTTCAACTTTCTCTAACAGATGTGGCTCTGAGGGTGGTGGGGGAGGCAGGGCTGGGAGGAGGATGGTTGGGGGAAGCGGGGTGGGGCTCTGGGAGCTCAGGACCTAATCGTCTTCATGTCGCGGGACTTTCCTTCTCACCTGCCTGGTGCCCCAGGAACTGTAGCCACTTGGTGGCAGTCAGTCAGCGGGCAGGGTGCTAGGAGCCTTCTGGAATCCCAAGTCCGGGAGCCGCTCCTTCCCGTTCCCACCCACGGGTTCTCTCAGGTCCCCAGGGAGGTTTTCTCAAGCATGAAACGGCTCCCAGAAAGCTCAGATGTGAACTCGGGAAAGCCGCTGTGGACTGTGCCCAAGACACAGGGGGCCTTGGAAATGTCTCATCTGTTCTCTCAAACAGGGTTCTGTGGCCAAATAAGTTCAGGAAATCCACTCTCAGCATTCTTTATGGAGGTGCAGTGCATGCTAGCATGGGAAAGGCTGTGAAAAGTTTTGCAGGAGGAAGCAGCTCAGCTTTCTGGCCTGTCCCAAATCTGTTTGACCATGGAAGTTGTTTCTGAGGAGCCCTCATGGACACGGGTGGGGAAGGCTACCCTGGAGCAAAAGGCATGGGAGAGGCATGGGAGGCTGGGGAGGAGCCGGAATTACCAGCCTCCCACAGCTGGCCTGCCAAGCCAGGAGCAGGGCATCTGGCCGCAGGTGGCAAGAACCACAGTGGGGGCTAGAGCCGCCTTCCAGTGGGTCCTGGAGCCTGGTCCACTTGAGGGGAACTGGCTGCCGGGACACCTGTCCTTTCCTTGTGACTTGTCCTCCCCTTCTGCCTGGCTCTGGTGGGCACTGGTTCCCCCACGCTGCTGCCTCTAGAGCTGCAAACACCACCCTTTCCAGTTCCCTGACGTTGTCCTCACTCCCAAGGTACACTGCCTTCTGCTCTCTGGCGGCCACCCCGCCTCCCCCAGTGAGTCCCTGTCTTGAAGATTTCTGGGAGACATGCCCAGCCCTGTACTCTCCTCTGAACTCCCGTGAGGCCAGAGATCTAGGGGAAGCTTACCGACAGGGCCAGGCTGACACCCCGTCCCCTTACTCAGAGCTGGATCTCTGCCGCCTCAGCCTTTTCTCCCTTCGGAAATTCGGTAATAACCATCGCCAGTGTCCCCCAATACTAGGTCACTGTTTAGGGTTAATGGGGAAGCTTCTTCAGGAGGAGTCTGCCGGCCACCTGCTCGCGTGCTAGTGACTGCGCCACCTGCCAGCAGCCCCTTGAGCTTGCAGTGCTGGGCGGCCATGGGCTGTCACAGTCATGAAGACCCTGTGCCCCGTCTAGACTGGCAGAATGGGGGAGGCTGGTGGACAGAGAGCGGGAGTGTCTCTGGGCCTGGGTGGCACCTCCTTGCGGAGATGATGTGTGTACAGGTATGCCTGGAAAATGGGTGGTGGTGGGGGCTGGGCAGTGTCTGGAGAAAGGGGCGTCCTATGAAGTTGATGCACTTGTCAATTCGGAGTGGCTCCGGAGGGGGGCTGGAAGGAGGAAGCCACCACTTGTCAATCCATCCTCCTCTGGTCCCTGACCCTCGTGCCCAGTCACCCCAACCCAAGAAAAGGGAGGCAGTGGCCAAGGCTCCCCTGCCTGCTGCCGTCAGGCAGGGCTCTTTTTCCTCAGCTCTCGGAAACTGATGTCCGCTTGGGGTGGGGACTAGAGAGGGAGAAGTGATTATTCAAGCAGCAGCTTCTTGGAGGCTGGAGGACAGAGACCTAGGGAGTTGCCAAAAAGAGTCTTAGAATCCACAAAGGAGCTAGAAAAAGGCAGGTCTGACAGTGTCCCATGTCTGAGATTAGTCTGTTTCTCGGAGATGGGAAAACCTCTGTGTGCGTGTGTGTGCGTGTGCGTGTGTGTGCACGTATGTTGAGAGAGAAGGGGGGAATACAGGGGCAAGAGGGGATGAAGGGGAAATGGATTCCCACTGCTGAAGAGCAGAGCTGCTGTCTCAGTGGCTCTTGGAAAGCACTGTTTAGAGCTAAAGGCCTCCCTGCATGCCTGACTCCACGCCCCAAACCCCCTGCATCAAGGCCACTGAGCTGCACAACTCCAGGTGGCGCTGTGAGCACGGTGTACACCATGAAAATGTCTCCTGGAGTTTGTCCAATGGGGTCCTAACCTTCCTGCCCTGGAAAGTGTGTCCCCCACTGGCTGAACAAAACAAGAGACTGTGCGGGCCGGGGTGGACTGACACTCAAGATGGGCTTGGCACTGGCTCCTCAGGGGCTCCTGACACACCTGTTTTCACCTTAGTCCTAATGGCTGGGGATGAGCCGTGTCCAGGAGGATGGGGCTTCCCTAGGAAAGGCTCCAGAGGGGGGCTGCACCCGGGACCAGGTAGCAGGGCACATCAGCCTACTGACCCGGAGGGGGATCTAACTCAGAGTGGGAGATTGGCTGGTGGGGGTTAGGGTCCCACTCAAATAGGGATTGCCCCCTGACTTTCAGGGGCACAGAGGACAGATTAGAAGGATCAGCAGGTACAGCCTGCCCAGCCCTTCTCTTGCGTCATCATCCATGACTACAGGAAGGTCTGTGCCCAGGGCTGGAGAAGAGCAGGGTGAGAACGAGGCAGAGAGGAGAGCCCACGGGCAGCATTGAGGGACAGAGAGTTGGGACTCTGCCTCTCTGTGGTCCCACCCCACCTCCCAGGCCTCAGTTTCTCCTTTTGGTAGCCTGGGGATAATGCCATGTGTGCTGCCCTCACCCGGGGGATGGGAAGATGGAGGATGGAGGTGTGCCCTGGCCACTGGAAGGAGTGAGGGTCTCTGGCCTCATGGGGGGCGTGGAGATGTGGTGAAGATGAGCAGGCAGATGGGATGGCGTGTGGGGGTCACCTGAACATGAGGGGGCATGGAGATGAGCTGATGGGAAAGGGAGGCATGCCACTGGTATGTGCACAGGGCTGGAAAGAGAGACTTGTTCTGTCATCATCCCCTGAACCAGTCCCCAAGAGTCACGCACCAACCGTGCTCTACAAAAACACGGAGAGAGGAGGAGAAAGCAGCAAGAGGAAGTGCAGGGGCCCCTGTCTGGCCCAGACAGGAGACAGTCACCCCCATTTGCAAATCCCCCTAAGTTTTCTTTTTTGAAACAAAATTCAGTATCAGAGACACTTTCGTTTGGCTCTGAATTCCAGAAAAACAGGAGGGACGGAGTGTGCCTGCTTCCCAACATTCACGCAGGGCTCTGAACCAATACACAACAACAAGTGTCAGAAAACCAGGAAGGAAAACTGATTTTTATAGAAACTGGAATGAAACTGACCAGTCTAGTTTCATTATCCAAGCTAAGCGGAAATGCAAAAAAATTAAAAAAAAAGTAAACAAACAGCACAAATGGTAAGACGTGAGTTCCGTTCCCTAAATTCTTTTCTTTTCATTTCATTCAGGTGTTAGCAGGAACCCCAAGAGGCCTGCCCCCCTTCCCTCCCAGCTCACCCACCCCCAGCATGGCCTCTGGGTTCTGCCCTGCCCCCGCCCCCTGCCCTTCTCCAGCACAGCTCTGAAGACCTGCCCTCCTGACGCTGTCACCACCAGGAACACCCCTCTCCCCTGAGCATTCAGGGAGTCAGGGAACGTGGTTCCAGAGCCCTGGCTGAGGGAGACCCTGATGGGCTGGGATGGGGACGTGGTGCGTGTAGATACCAAGTTCAAGTTCTAAGCAGTGAACCCCAGTGGCCCTGGTTGGGGGGGGGCACAGGTTATCATCTTCACAATGGCTCAGTCTCCTACCCTCTGCTCCTCTTAGATTTAGCTGGGGAGGGGCCACCTAGAGGTTCCTGGGGTTCAGCCTGGCTAGTAGAGCTCTCCGGTGACCACAGAGCCCACCACTCCCTTTCTCACATTAAACTGCACTGGAGCACTGGGTCCTCTGGACCCCTTGAGCCCTGGAACCTGTTTTTGGTGGCTGAACCTTCTTTGCTGGGAGCCCAGGCTGGCCTCCGTGACAATGCTGGATCCCTTCAAGGTTCAGGGGCCAAAGGGATCAGAGAAGAGGAGAGTCCTGGGGTGAGTGTTTGTGTGTGTGTGTGTGTGTGTATGTGTGTGTGTGTATGCGTGTGTGTGTTCTGAGAGGATAAGAAGAGGGGGCTGCAGGGCTGGGCCATCTCTGTGAGATATTCCAGAACCCTCGTGAATTTCCAGGAGATCTAGTCCAAAGAGCTCAGAGCATTTTCAATGCCAGGATGTTTCCCAGGGTGTGCAGCACTGGAGTGGCAGCCTCCTAGAGGCAGAAGGAGGGGATGGGTGAAGGGCTGAGTCTGGGCTGAGAAGCTCCCAGGGGGACCCGCTGTTGCTGTTGGGACTGTGCCCTGAGATTCAGGTAGGGAAAGGTCGGGAAGGAGATGGCAGCAGGTAAAGGGTGGGTCGGGAGGAAACCAGCAGAAGAGGCCAGCTGTGGGAGGGAATGGGAGCGTGGAAGAGGCAGGGCCCCTCATCACCACAGTGGAGGGCTCTTTGTTCAAGGCTGGAGTAGGGAGGGAGACAAATCTCTGCAGTTTGCCCAGAGGCAGGAGAGCCCAGGAGAGCTGAATCTGACCTTGTCTGTGGTAAGGGTAGATGACTCTCTGAATCTCCATCACTACTCCGGGCTTCTTCCCAGATGCCATGGGAATGGGGCGACTTTGGCACCTTGTCACGCCCTACGCTGGAGCTGCTTCAAACACCCGAAGATGTCAACTAGGCCCTCCGCCCATTCTTACTCAGGATCCGGACAGAACCTGTTATTTCCTCACCAAGCTCCCCCAACCCTCCTTGTTCACCCACCAGAAAATCGTGAAGGGGGTCCCGTGGTTGTCCAGAGCTCTGGCTGGGCCTGAACAAGCCCTTCCTCAGGACGACTTCACCTGCTGCTTGCTAAGGGGAACTGTGGTTCTAAGCCCCTAGGAGGGGCTGCTGAAGAGCACTCTCTGGCCCTTGGGGAGGCTCTAAACCCTGACTTGCACTTCTCTTCAACCCTGGCCTCCCCCATTAGGCCATACCCAGGGTGGTGTCCTTCCACTCCCCAGAGAGGAGGTCCCCTAGGGACCGAGGTGGTACAGGCAGCCGCAGGGCCTAGCTGACCCTGGGGTCCTGCTGGGCAGGGAGAGCAGCCAGGTCCTGAGGTGAGCCAGGGAAAGAGCCCTTATTTCTTCTGCAGGCCACAAGGGCCCCTTGGCTACCACGGTCCTGGAACCTGAGCCGTGCCTGGGCTGCCAGGATCCCACTGCAGGAGACACACCTGGGAAAGTGTTCATCAGAACAAAGTTGGGAGAGTTGTTGCGAGATGGCGGAGGGGGTTAGGTGGACAGAGGCGAGAGCAGGGATAGTGCCCAATGCCTCAGGCATACACTGGCATCCCCATTTCCCTAAAAGGTGTTGGTGAAAGGGTGGTCCTCAGGAGATGGGGTTGGTAGGGGCCTAGAAAACTGGGACCGCAGAGGCCCCTGAGCCCTTTAAGAGCTTACATCTCCCTGTATTCCAGGAATGGCCTAGGGAGGGGGGTGAATGTCTCTATCTACACCCTTTGGGGACCCCTTACCTGTGGCTTGATGCCCACTTTTCCTAGAGCCCCCCACTTCTGGCCCGCCTCTCTCACCCTACTCTGCCCCCCACACATGCCCCCACTGCCCACTTACTTGCAGGAGAGCTGGTTGATGCCCTCGATGTAGTAGCAGACGCCTCCATTGACACAATAGGACTTGGCTGTCTCGTTGCACTTCCGGGCGTGCCCCGACCAGGACGATAGGGTGGTGCTCACTGGAGGTAGGAGAGACATGTGCCAGTGAGCCGCTGAGACCACCTCTGAGCCCCAACAGTCACCTCCTTCATGGCCTGTCTCAAGCTAAAGGATTAGAGGCTGCAGGGACGGCTGGGGAGGGAAGGTCTGGTGGCCCTCCCAGTGGTCAACACCCAAGGGGAGGCTGTGGCAAGCTCTTCTCATCTGCCAGCACCATCCTGCCCCTGGCTGGGCCAACCTCCAAAGGCCAGGAGGACTTTCTTTGCAGGGGATGAGAGTGAGCAGAAACTCTTGCCCTACTGGAATAAGGGCCCAGCTCAGGCCCTTGTCTGACTTTCTGGGGGCTCCACTACAGGTAGATGAAACACAAGAGTCTGTGTGGGAACAGTCACAGAGGTGTAGGGAGAAGACATGTACATTGCTCTGCCTGGCACTGCCTGCGCTCTCGTAGGGGCTGGAGGGCCAGGATGGAGGTGGGCTTTGAGGACAATGGCACATTTTGGACACTGTCATCTTCTAAGATTGAGGGAGAGTGTGGGGTGAGCCCTGGTCCCAGAGCTTGGCTGGCTCCAGGTATCTGGGGACTACCATAAAGGTCTTCTTCACACCTGCCCTCCAGGTGACTCCCCGCTCTGCCACCTAGTCAGCTCTTGCCTCTGCGGGGAGTCTCCAGCCCTTGGACAGCCCTGGCTATAAATTTGGGGCATCTGGCTACTGGAAAGAAGGGATTGGGGGGCAGCTGGGATGTGGAGACTTGGCAAGGGCAAGATCAGGGTTTTAGGCTAAGGCCCCAGACTGCATACCTGATGGACTAGATTCATTTGCTCAACGGAAATAATGGAAGCTCTGTTCCCCCACAGGGGCTGGCATCCAGAAAACTGGTTTCAAGTGTAAACTCTAGCCCCCAATGACAGTTTCCATTTGTAAGCCAACCCCCAAGGTTGTGTATCCAGATCAGACAGCCAGACACAGGGTGCTGCTCCCCTCCTCAGACTCTGGGGTTCTGAGGGCCCCTTGCTCCCACCAGCAGCAGCCTCCTGACTGAGTTGGCCCCATCCTACACTGGATGGTCCCATCTCCTCAGGGGTGTTGCGTCTCTACCACCCCCCACAGTAATGGGGGAGAGAGGAGGAGGAGGGCAGGCACTTGGCGCCTGCAGTGTTTAGACATGTGTGGAGACAGATGGAGCGTGGGGATGGGGAGTGTATACACAGCCCGGCCTCTGTATATGTCTGAGGAGCTCGCTGATAAAACCCAGCGGGCAGGGCCAGCTCCCACCTTCCCCTCCACATCATGCCTGCTGCTGCGCTGGCACCCTGGAGCCCCACCCTGTTCAGGCCTCCTGCTCCTGCTCTGTCCCTAAGTCCAGCTGGGACCCACAAGCTGGCCAGGAGAGGAGGCCTCCCGTTGCTCTCTGCCCTCCTTCTGGGGTCAGAGAGACCCAGGAATTTAGAAAGGGACAGATAAGAGAACTAGTTGAAGTAACCCTGTCTGCAAGTTGTAAAATCCCGTTGCTGAGAGGACCCTAGAGGCTGTCCTGTCTCTGGGGCACACAGCCAAGGAGGAGTGAGGAGAGAGTGTTGTGACACTGTGCTGTGACCCCGCCCCAGGCCTCCCGATGCCTGGCTGAGCATTCTCGCCAGCCACTCAGTCCCTCGTGGAAGGACATGTCAGCACAAAGGCTGGACATAAGCATGTAGGTGCAAACACGATGTGGACCACAGGCCTCAATCAGAGAAACCTCAGCACAGCTTGGTCCCCTCTGCAGTCACAGTGCAAAATCTGCTGCATGCTGGGCTGAGTGAGCGGTGACAGCAGCGAGGATGGGGCAGGGACCATAGCGGCACGCTTGGGCCTGTCTCCACACGTGTCCGCGCTCACTGAGGCCGAGGGAGGCAGAGGATGGCTCCTGAAGGAAGATGGGGCTCCAGCTGGGCTGCCAGAACCGTGTGGGCCTGGGGCCACAGAGGGCAAAAAAGGGAGCACAACGAGGGAAGCCTGCTGTGGCGGGTGTGGGGAGAGTGACGACGGGCCTTATACCTCAGAAAGAAGTACCTCAAAGCCACCCCTGCATGAAGGCAGAGCTTCTCACATAGCTGCACTCCAACCCTGCTGGTGGTGGCGCCTCACACCGGGAAGATTCCACACAGAAGACGTGCGCGCAGGCTGTCCCAGCACATGGGGCCCCCAAGGCACCACGTCTACATTCCCTTGTCAAAGGATCTGCATTTTTTCACCGTGTTCTCCCAAGTTTGGGAGTGAAGGTGACAAATGACCACTAAGTTGGAGAGTCGGCTGCTCCCTTGACCTTGGGGTGACCCTCACCCTGAATTCAGCTCCCACTCATCTGCTCCAGCTTCTCACTCCTGTCTCAACCATCTCAGGGAACGAACAGCACAAACCAGAGGCCTAGAGGCCATCTCTGATTTCTCATCCCTTGTCCCCCACAGCTACCAACTGGAGGGCTGCCTCTACCTCCTCACCGGGCTCCATTTCCTCCTCACTACTGTCTCCCCAGCACAGGCTGCCAGGGCCTCTTTCCCTGGATGACCATAGCAGCCTCCTCACTGGTCTTCCTGCCCCAACTCTTCCCTTCCTCTCTCGCCTCACTGCTTCACAGTTGCCAAAGGGGTCTTCATGTAAATTGGGTCAACTGCTTCTGAGGTCAAGACTCTCCAGTGATTTCCTCATGCACTCGAGTCAACCCCCTAGGTCTAGGACCGCACCGCCTCCTGCTCCAGGTCCCATCCCTCTAGTTTGGTATATTTGGACCACACCAGCTTAGCCCAGCTTCCCTAACAAGCCAGGTGCCTTCCTGCTCAGGCCTTTTAGAATATCAGTGTCTCAGAAGTGCTTCTCAGCTACCTCCTTTACTCCTTCTTTTAGCTTTGCACACTTGTATTTGGAGTACTTTACACAGGCACAATTAGACGACTCATTGTAGCAGTGATTTAAAGCTCAGCTCATCCACTACAATGCAGGTTCTTGGGCAGGGGCTTAGTCTGTCTCACTCACCAGTGAAGCCCAGGGTCTAGCATACATAGTGCCTGGCCTGTCATAGCTTAACAAATATTTACAAGTATTTATAATGAGCAAATGAGCATCTGATTCTTTAGAGGAAGGAGGCTTTTGCTACCATTGCAGGGGCTAGTCTGGTATCCTTGGCTGCTGCTGAGGTCTTTCTGTGGATTGAGGCATTGTTGCTAGGAAATGCAAATATTCCTGGGAGGTGGAAAAGAAGATGAAAATGAAAACCACAGCGAGATACCAACAGGATGGCTAGAATCAAAAAGATGGATAATAACAAATGGTGATTATTACCTGCTGCAGGTGAGAATGGAAAATGGTGCAACCACGTTGGACACGGTTTAGTTGTTCTTCAAGAAATTAAACACAGAGCTACCAAATCACTCCATGTCATCAGAGCAAGCCCATTCCTAGATACAGAGCCCAGAGAACTGAAAACGCATGCCCACCAAAGCTGGCACATCAATGTTCGCATCAGCATTATTCCGGACAGCTAAAATGTGGAGATGACCTGAATGACCCAACCACCCAACTGAGGGATGGATAAATATAGTGTGGTCCATCCATACAGTAGGATATGATGCAGCCACAAAAAGGAACAAAGAACTGACACATGTAAAACATGGATGAGCACGGAGAGCATATGTGAAGCAGAAGTCAGTCACGAAAGGCCACATATTGCATGATTCTTTTTATGAAATGTCCAGAACAGGAAAATCCATAGAGGTAGAAAGTAGATTAGTGGTTGCCAGGGGGTGGAAGAAATGGGGAATGATTGCTAGTGGGGATGGATTTTTTTTTTAAGATTTATTTATTTATTGATGCATACAAGAGCTGGGGTACAGGCCAGAGATGCGGGGGTGAGAGGATTCACCAGAGACAGTGGGGAACAGAACAGGCGGATTCACTGAAATACACTGCTGAGGGGAGCAGCGGGGGAGACAGGAGAGGTCTGCTGAGCCATGTGGGTTGCTCCCTGGCTGGCCGGGGATCAAATTCGTGCTGCAGAGGCTGCGGATTGCTTCATATGTGGTGCTTAACCCCTTGTGCCACTAGGGAGGCCCAGGGATGGGTTTTTTTGAGGTGATGAAAATGTTTTAGAATCAGTGGTGATGGTTAATTGTATATTTTTTAAAAAAGGGTGAATTTAATGGTAAATTATATTTCAAAAAATTGGGAAGGTAAACCCAAGAAGCCTTTATCAGCCTTTGATGTCTCAGTGTTTGTGTGTTTATTGGGCCCCTGAAAAGTGAGTGTGGACTGGGAGGTTGAACAGATGCGGCGAGATTCTCTCCCTTCTGCCAGGGACAAGGCCTCTGCTGATGTGTCTTCATCTATCCAGGTTCCCCTTCCACCTAACCAGTGTGTCCCCTTTCCCACTGGTGACCCCGGCCTTCCTCCTCACTGTGTTAGAACAGGTAGACACTCTGAGTTCAGGTTTTGACTTCCAGCCATTTGAGAGACTTGGTTGAGAGTCAAGACAGTGACTCCCCCAAACTCAGAATAGGGTATTGCTTGAGTAGGCCTTGCTGGATGTGTGCAGGAGAGCACATGTGTGCGCCTGACTCAACAGCTAAGCTTTTTAGGTCTCCAGGTAAGGGGCAGGCCCTGAAGGCCTCCCCAGGGCTCCCATGTGTCTGAGACAACCCAGGTCAAACCTTTCTGCCCTCTAGGGAGAAGAGAGGCCCAGTCCCACCTCCTGGGACTGGCACAGTCACCCTGGGACATTCCCAAGGTCTCTTTCACCTGGAGATGAGGCAGCTGGTTGTTTAACTCAGAAGTAGTTGGACCAAGCTGATTACTTTGCTAGAAGCAACACAAACTTTTCGCAGCCGCCTCCTCCCAGCCAACTCAGGGGAGCAGGAAGCCTCTTCGAGTTGGCAGAGCTGTGAATTGCAGGAAGGGTCCGTTCCGTGTGTCCACTGGGATAGAGCAGTACTTAGACAAGGCTGCAGTGGTGACCCCAGGCAACCTGCTGCCCCTTGTTGTCCCCCTACCCCCCTCCATGGCCTCTCTGGCTGCCCCACCCCTCGAGCCCTGGCTTCCCTGGGGCCTAGGCGGGGCCAAGCCAACCCACCTTGTGATGAGTCAGAGGGGGCAGGCACAGCTGCCCGCTACCCGCCCTCCACCCCCTCCCCAGGGCGCGGTTGCTGCAGGTCTTCTGGGTTCCATGGATAAACAGGGCCTGGGCATCTATGTGGGAAAATTTCCCCAGTGGGGGTTTCCTGGTCCCTGGTGGTGATCCTGTTCACCTCTCCACACCAAGGGTAGACTCTTGCCTGCCAGGGGCTGAAGAAGTGTGTAAAGTATTTGTGTGTGTGCGTGCGTGTGTGATGTCGATGTGTATGCATGTGCGGTGGTGGTGGTGGCGGCAGCAGCTGGGTGCACAGGATGTCAGCCTTAACATCAAACTCAGACTCTCTGAATCTGGGGTGGGGTGGGGTGGGGTGGGGTTTAGAGATCATCTAGCTCAGTTTCAGCTGGGAAAACCACAGACAAAGCAGGAGGAGTCTCTCACCCAGGGTTGCAGGACAGAACTGGACAAGACCAAAGCTCTGGACTCTTTCTACCACTCTGCTCTGCTGCCTTCCTGCCAGGCCGGAGGGCCAAGAGGTCAGGGGCACTTTTGGGAAACCCTCAGGGTCCAGCCCGTAACTCCACTCTCCACTTCCTACCTAATGAGAACATGGCGGAGGGTGGTGGGGTCTGAGGTCTTTATGTGGAGAGGTGCCTCACAAATACTATCCCCAGCCTTGAGCCCCAGGAGGGAGGGCACAGTGGCTTCCTGCCCATAGCTTCCCCCTCTTCCTTTGCTGACAGCACCCCTCTAGGGAAGTGCCCCTGCACAGTTCTGCCAGGGCCATCACTTGCTGTGCTCGGCCTTTTAATACCCCCTCTGCACACACGCAGACCTGGTGAGGATGGCACCCATATCCCTGAGCACAGGGGCTGGGCACCTTCGCGGGGTCAGCGAGACTCCTCTCAGAGGCTTACATGACTAGCTGCAGCGACAGAGCTCTCTCTTTTCCCTGGGTGATGGAAGGGGGCGGGGGTGATTAAACCTGGGGCTGTCTGAGGCCCTGGCCTCTTCTCCCCATCTATTCTCCATCTTACAGTGGCACCCTACACAGTGGGACAGAGCGTCCTGAGCCACACTCTGAGTTCTTAGACTCTGTCATGTCAAGGGCCAGCTCTACCTCTGGACTTCTCAGTTCATAAACCAATAAATAAACTCCTCAAGGTAGTTCTAAGTTGGGTTCTCACTGACTTAACCAAGTCAGTTCTAACCAAGAAAGTCTTGAGTAATAAAACAGGAAACCTCAAATCCAAAGGATCTGAGAACGTCCACTATGGCTAGAGGTGGAGGGTACTGTAAACCCAGCTTGGTTCATGGGACAGACTGGGGTGGGGCAGGCCCAGGTACTCCAACTGCAACCACACGCAGTCTGGGGTCTGGGGGAGTCAGAAAAAGCCTTGGAGCAGGTAGTAAGACCTTTTATATGATATTGGTCAGGAACCTATGGTGAGTGAGGAACTATGCTAGGCCCTGAGGCCAGAGTGGTAAACAGGCCAGACAAGGCCCCGGTCACTGGCATACTGTATGTTGTACAGCTCCATCACGAACTAGCTGTTTGAGTTTAGGCAGAATATTTAGCCTCTCTGAGCATCAATCTCAATTTATAAAATACACCAGGGACCTCAATAAGGGCTCAGGAGATGATGCGGAACCTGGCACAGAGCGCGCTAAGTAAATAGTAGTTATTAGTGTAACTCCCAGGGAAAGCCTCCTCCCTGCCCTCCTGCCCCGGGCACACAATTCCCCTGGGGAGGTTGCCCTCACGGGGACAGTTCACTAATGGGATGGGAGCTTAAGCAAGCTCTAGGGCTGGAATTCTAGAGGACGCAGGACTACTCTTAGTCTACTGAGAGCTCCACTAGCCGGAGCTGGGAGTGACATCAGTGGGTTGGCGTGGCCAGAGCACAACGCCGCCTGGACAGATGACATAGGAGGAAGCCTAAGAATGTAACGAAAGAGTGAGGATGTAAGGGGTGGGCCGCAGCGAGGACCGGAGGCATTGGACTAGCCTGGCGGGAGACGGGCTGCTGTGGGACGAAGCACCTGCTCAGAGGCTCCGGAGTGGGGGTGTGGCAGGATGACAGCATATTGGGTGACATTGCTCTGGTCAGAAGAGTAGTCATACAGCCTGGGTCAGGGCTGCCCCAGAGGTGGGATTGAAATGGAAGGAACAGGTGTGAAAAAGATCCAGAAAGAAGACGAACGAGGATACTCAGAGCTATTAGATACAGTGGTCAGGGGGACAGAGGAGTCTGAGAAGCTGGGAGAATCGGGGGATCCCTCACAAGATGGGACAGACAGGGTTTGAGCAGAGTTGTTTTAGGAGGGTCCCACAGCAGCGAATGTTCCAAATTCTCTATGCAAGGCTGGGTTAAAGGCATAGTGGGTTAGGGGCTGGAAATAAGGGCAGGTGAAGACAAACAGGATTAGACTCTGGAGAGGGGAATGAATGGAAGAGAACCCCAGTAACCAGCTAGCAGAATAGCGGGCTGAGTCTATGGGTGTTCAGAGGAGGAAAGAGCTTTGTGGGGTTTGGAGTTCTCAGCTAGACTGGAGGGGAGGCCACCAGAGGACAGGCAGCTTTGGCGACTTTCCTGTCAAGGGAAACCACCATGGTCTGAGAGGACAGAGGTCTCCATGCTGATGCTGAGCCATGCTGTGGACACGGGTATCCAAGGGGGCACCTGGAGGCCCTGATCCTGCAGGTCTTCAAGGGACAGGATGATCTGTGGGGGAGGGCCCAGTCATCGCTGAACAGAGGCTGCCTCCAGGGACCCCAGCCTCCCCCCATGTCCCTGTGGAGACGGCTGCCTGCACTGCGGCACCCAGCAAAGCAACAGCAACAGGCAGTTGGCTCACACGCCCCGGGCCTGCCTCTCCCCAGAGCCCCGCTCCTGGCAGCACAGCCTCCCATAATTGCCTTCTAAAAATATCCTCCCCTACCCCCACCTCTTGATTTCAAAATATTTAGTTTTCAGGGTATTTAAAATGAGAGCTGGCGGCTCTTCCAGGCCCAGATAACAAAGCTAAACATTTATGCTTTGACTGCATTTCTCTGAATCGGCCCAGATCTCAGGGCTTGATATGGCAGCAGCAGGAGGGACAGGAGTCAAGTGCAAGATGGTTCATGTGCAGGCCTCCCCAGGCTTGGGGGGCAAGTGGCCCACCCTGCCGAACCCTGGTAGGGCCCCTCCCTGAGTTGGGGGACCACCTACCACTGTTGACGTGGAGCCGGCCACGGACCGTGTCCTTGCCCAGGATGTTCTCGGCCTCGCAGACGTACTCCCCAGCGTCCTCCACCTTCACCTTGTTGAACTGTAGTCGTGAGTTCTTTCTGGTTAGGGAGGGAAGAGAGAGGGAGAGGCATGAGCCAGGGCCCAGGCTGGCTGTGGCTCCCCAGCAGTCACCCAGAGGTCATGTCTCCCTGCAAAGCCACATGGCCTTGCAGGGTGAATGGGGTGCAGGTTCCCTCAGATCAGCCATCTCTGGGGTCCAGCTGGAATGCTAAGTCCCTGGAGCAGGAGGAAGGCCTGGGCACTCAGGAGCACCCAGGGTGGGACCATGTAAATCTGAGAATCCTCACAGCCTTGCCAGGGCCGGAAAAAAGGTCCCTTAGGAAGTCACATGACACCTTCCCTCCTCCTCTTTCAGTGCCCGTGTCCCGCTCACCCCCAGAGGCGCAGTCACTGGCTCGCCAGAACCTTGGCCTTCCCTGAGAAGTGGTAGCCTGTCTCTCCAGATGTAGAGGCCTATTCCCCCGTACCTGGGAGAGCTGCCCTTCTAGCAGGTTCCCATGGTAACTGTGCCCAGCCTCCCAGTCCCCATCACACCTCTCCTCTGGCTTCCCAGCAGCCCTGACATTTTGGGATACCGTGGCCTCTCTTTTTCTTCCTTCTTTCACTCAACATAGAGGAGTGCCTTCTGTGTGCTGGGAGCTTGGATGCCTCGGGAACAAAGAGATTCTATCCTATGGCCTGACTTGACCCTCATGAATAATCTGGGGAGGAACAGGGCGTACAAATGGTAAAACTGAGTCCTAGAGGGGTTTCCAGGCTGGCCTAGGACACACAGCAAGGCAAAGGTAGAGCTGATGAGGAGCTGGTGTTGGTGAGGGCAGCGGCCTCTCAGCAGCACGCAGACTCTCCTGAAGTGCGAAGCTAGGCCGTCGCCCACTGTGGAGGGCTTTGGACCCAGTCCCCGCAGGTCAGGGGCTGCAGGGCCAGGTTTGGGCAGGGATTCCAGCACAGTGGCGACTCCAGGGTACCTGGCCCTGCTTCCCTCTTCTTTCAGAAAACCCTGCGCAACTTCTCCTTCCATCCCAGAGTCTCCCTGAACCTACCCTAAGGTGCCTGGGCTCCGAGGGCCTGTGTATACTTCCTAGGCCTCCCTCTCACCAGGTATTCTGGGGGCAATCTAAGCCAAGAGTAAGCCGGGGATCTCAAGGTGGCCCCCAGGGGTTAAGAAGGAATAGCACTAAAATTTCTTTATGCCATAACTACCTATTTTTAGTTTGGAATTAAAAAACCAGGTTCCCAGAATACATGTGGTGGGTTGGAGGGCTGGTGAACAGGATTCAGGGGAGCAGAACTGCCCATTCCTGAGCCAGTGATGTAAAACAGCCATGAAGCTGGTGGGAGTGGAGGGCAGGGGGTGAGCAGCAGTCACCCAGAGGTCCTGGGGAGACAGCAAACTCAGCCATCTCCCTACCGGGGCTGTGCTTGGAGACCCCTCTCCTGGGCTCCACGTCTGCCTGGGGGCGGGGGTCTATTCCCAGACTTCCTTACTCCAATGTCTCCCAAACAAAGCTCCAGGGGGTTGTCCTGTTAGTGGGCCCTGTTGCTGTGGCACTGTCCTTGTGTACGCTACAGTGACAGCTGCCAGCCTCCCTCCCCCTACCTTGCCCCGGTTCAAGACTGTCTCCTTGGTCTGGTCTCTGCCTACAGGCCTCTTCTGTCAATTCAAGTTTGCTCCCTTCATTAAACAGAGCCCTGGAGGCCCCTCCAGCTGAGACAGCATCTCCTTCCTGGCTCCAGCCTAATTAGATGCCACAAAGCCCAGCTAACCCAAGTCCAGGCTTCTCTCACTTTCTAGCCACCAGCTCTTCCCTGACCCCAGATGAGCAGAGGAGGGGGTCATCTGAAGGGGTTAAGATCAGGGGACAAAAACAAAAAAAGATACAGGGGACACATAGCCAGAGCCTCCCTGACCCACAGCTGAATTCAAAGGTGCTTTCCCTACATGACATAGTAGCACCAGGCAGAGCTGGGTGCACAGATTGTCTGAAGAGATAAAAACTAGAACTGGACTGAAGGGCTTCTCACTGGAAGTTGGGACCTGTGGAAAGGAGGCTCAGGGCCACACCTCCCCTTTGAGGAACCCGAAGAGGCAAGGAGACAGAAACAAATGCCTAGGCTTGCTGGCTACAGGCATCTCGGTTTACCAGCTGTATGCTGATCTTGCCAGCACCAGGGAGGTGGGCCCCAGACTTGAAAAAGACGCTCTGGGGTCACTGCGGCTGGTGGGATGCTCTGGGTTGCTTAGGCCCAGGAGTGGCAGCCACCACAAAGTTTTCTCCTCACTCTAGATCCAGTCGAATGCCCCAAGGACTGAGGACTCTCTCCTGCCTTTCCGGCATGCCCAGTGTGGTCCTGACCTAAACCTGCCCCTGCCATGGACGCCCCTCCTTCCTTCCTCAGCCAGTTCTCTGCTGGCAGGGACGGGCTCTGGGCGGCCGTGTCCTCCACCCGTCCGCACATTTTCCTCAGCGCCTTCCTCTTGCTGCCTGCCTGAGGGGCCTGTTCCAGCCTGTCCCTCATAAATAAGGGAACACACGGTTCTGCAGGGGAGGGCTCCATGCCCAGGGCATGGGGGGCAGCTTTCTCCTGGCACAGAAAGGCTTGAGTTAGGTACCTCAGAGCAGGGGCCCCAGAGACTGACAGCACTGCTGGGAAGGGGGTCTCTGCAGGCAAGGCAGAGTGTGGCCTGGGCAGACAGAGTACAGAGGGGTCCAGAGAGTGGGCAGTAGGATAGAGAGGATTCTGCAAGACAGGAGACTTCTGGCCCCATGGCAGGGAAGGCCCTGATGCAGGGGCATATGTATGGAGATGCCCGATCTCCTCAAGGGGTTCCCAGGGAATCAGTCCATGGGGAATCACAAGTTCTCCATCACGACCCACTCTTCTAGCTCATCAGCTCAGAGCCCAAGGGCAGGATAAGAAAGCAAAGAAGTTTCAGAAATGCAGCTGCTGGGACAAGGTCCTGACAGGCAGTGGGTGAGGGGTAGTTGGGGATCTCCAAGACCCAGGAGGAGACTGACCAGGCCCTGATCCTGGGCTGGGTGACCCATCTGTCAGAGGAGTCCAGAGGTCAGTAGCTGGCTCAAAGTCAAGGTCAACCCAAAGGCACCTGCCTGGTCCCAGGATCACCCACTGCTCAGGAGAGGAGGGCAAAGCTGCAGGAGTCCCATAACTCAACACCAAGCTTGGGCCTCCTGCGCCGGGCCACAGGGGAGAAGGGAATGTGTGGGGGCACGCAGTCAATGAGGCTTTCTCATGCTAGGAAGAAGGTCCCTGACAATGTACTGAAATTGTCTAAGACACCAGGAGAGGAAGTGACGAGCGCTGCCTTGAGGGCTCACGAAGGTGTCCCAGAGGATGCAGCATTTAAGATGGCCTTTGGAGAACTTTGCCACTAACAAGAGACACTGAGGGTGCTGCCACACAGGGAAAAGCCTGGGCCCAAGTCCACGGTCATGAAAGAAAGACTAAGAAACAGAAGGTGAGGGAACAGTGGGGTGGTGACTTACAGAGAGGAGAGTCGGAAGGGCCCCAAGGCCTGGGCTGAACCTGGCACGACAGCTCTCCAGCTGTGTCAAGGAACTGAGTGGATGATAGGGTATGTGTCCCCGCTATGAAGATCATCTCGTCAGGGTCATGGGTCCAGTGACTCTGTGAACTCTAGACTGGCAGTCAAAGCCAGGAGTACAAGGTCCATTTTTTTCCTGAAGAAAGGGCTGAGGCTTTTACTGGCTTCTACACTAGGGGCCAGACCAGAAGCTCTGTGAAGGGAGCGACTGTGCCTGTCCCCTTCACTGGCGGAGCTCTGGTCTCTGGCAGGAAGTCTAATATTCACATGTACGTGTTAGATACAGTAACACACTCACAAGGGCCTGTGGCCCAGAAAAGGTCAGGAGTGGGACAGAAGAGGCTAATGGCAGGGAGAGCAAGTAAAGTAGCAGTAGGGCAGGGAGAAGGTGCCTCGCTCCAGCGTGTGTCCCCCTGGAGGGGATGGCATGGGGCAGATGCTGAGCAGCGGCCACAGCCGAGAGGGGAGCCCCCTGATGGGGGGTGCACAAGGCAGGGCCTGGAGAGCTGGGGAAGGCTAGATTGGGGCAACCTGACTCAGAGATGCCTGTGGGGTATCTCTCAGGGTTGCATCTAGTGTTTAGCTGGCAGATGGGTCTGGAACTCGGGCTAAAAATAAAGCCACTGACTAGTGATAGAGACTTGCTGGTCATCAGAAATGAGTGGGTAACACCATTTGCAGGTGGAGAGGGAAGGAAAAGAGAAGTGAAGTCCAAAAGACAGGAAAATTCCAGCACAAATGGTGACTGGGAGAGAATGGCTGAAGCATGAGAGGAGCAACAGGGGGGTCATGGGGCGAGGGAGCGGGTGGCAGCCACGCCAGAGGCCGAGACCTGGAGGCCAGGAGCTCTGGGGTTGCAGGGTCTCTCGGGAGCCTCACCCATAGAGTGTAGGGGTGTATTTACAGGGCAGAAGCCAGCAGAGCAAAGGGCAGTGAAGGATGAGAGAGTGGAGGGTCCTTGGGCTTGACACTGATGGGGGAGATTTGGGGGGGAAGAGGCGATATGGGGCAACAGCCAGAGGAGGAAGAGGACACGGAGAAGAGGAGGGAAGGCTGAGGGAGAGAAGCCATGTCGTGGGCTTGTTGGTAGGGAGCAGGGCTGATGTCACCAGGCAAAGGAGCTTGTTGGCAACAAGGGGACTCTGAGGGGGTGTGCTTGTGCGTGTGCAGTGGCGGCGAGCCAGAGAGCTGGGGACTGGGAACGGGGGGACGAGGTGGGCCATACTGTGGACATGTCTGAGAGTGACGAGGAGGGCCTGGGCGCACACGCTGCTCTGACTTCTGCCATGTCAGTGAAGCAGATGAGAGGAGAGAGAGGGCGGGAGGAAGGCGCCCCAGAGGCTTGTCCATTGTCCGCTCCAGCTTGGAGCCAGTCTTGCAGTGCAGCGCAGTGAGTCGGGTTGCCTCTGAATGGGAATTTGGGGGCAACCTGAACTTCTTGCTAACTCAATAGACTGGGGACACACTGAAAACCCTCACCCTTCCTCCCCTAGGAAGCAGCATTTTTCCAGCCATGAGCCTTTGACCTTCCCAAAGAACTTTCTGTTTTCTCCCTTGACTACCATCCAGATGGCCGAGTCTATGCTTGCTCCCTGCTCTTGGAGGGAGAGTGGAGATCTTGAAGCACCTCCCAGACTGACCCGCCCCCCCACCCTCCTTCACAGTCTGGGCTGCACATCCAGGGCACACAGCACAGCAGAGCAGTGTGAGCACAGGCTGAGGCCCTCTAAAATCATCTTTGTTTGCAATTTGGTGTATGAGCAGGGAAATGAGTCAGGAAGAGGTGGCTGTAAGCTACTCTGGAGGGACAGGAAGACTGGGTGCTCCCTGGCCAGAGAGGAAGTTCCAGGCTCTCAGGGCCCACGGAGAGAGGTCACGCAGAACTCTCAGGGGCTGCAAAAAGTAGGAGAGAGATGAGGAGATGCCCTCGGACCCCTGGGCTTTCCTGATGGTGGAAGGCCCTGCCTCGCCAACTCAAGATGGGAAAATGTCTGCAGATGCTGTGGCAAGTCCTTTGAGAAGTTTCAGAGACCAGAGGAGACCCCACGGGTGACACTGACTATCAGATTGCCTTCAACCATGCCGAGACGGGGGAGCCCACAGGTGCAAGTGGAAATAGGGTGCAGTGAGAAAGGAGCAATGGGATTGGTTCCATGGATGGTGCAGGGCACAGGCCTGGAATCTGCCCAGCTCAAGTCCCTGCTTCTCGGGGTGGGGGGAGGCTGGGGAAAAGGAGGGATGCGTGCTGCTCACCTGCCATTGCCGTACTTGATGCGGATGTCACGACTGCGGTTGAGCTCCTTGCCGTCCTTGAACCAGCGGTAGGAGGGCTGGGGGTTCCCCGCTGCTGCCTCGCACTTCAGCGATTGCTTCTCACCCACCTGCCCCGTTTGGCTCTTCATCTTCTTCAGCTTGGGCCGCGTGGCTGTGGGTACAAGGCAGGGAAGTGGTGAGAGGAGCAGTGCCAAGCATGGGCAGTGGAGGAAGGGTCACTGGCAGGGACCACCCTCCTGATGTTGTTTCCTAGTTCAGTTCACAAGCATTCAGAGGTCTGCAGTGACATCACTGTGGTTACTACTTAGGATTTTTCTTTGTGCTTAGAACTTTACATCCATGTATATTTGTACAAATTAGGCTTATGAAAGGAACTCCATGAGTTCACTGCACAGATTAAACCCTGTTATAAATGGTGAAACTGAGGCTCAGAATGGCGAACTCATTTCCCAGAGTTGATAGACAAAGGCAGGTGTCCTCGACTTCAGAGGTGAGGTCTAGCTTCTGTTCCAGACCCGCAGGCCTATTCTGCGCCCAGAGGACACAAGGGGACCACAATGATAGGCCCGGCTCTGGCGCGCAGGAAGTTGGGTCTGGCAGGGGAGTCATAACCTGGCACTGATATCACAACACAGAGCCCAGAAGAGCGACCCCAGCCTGGGCAACTGAGCAAATCAATTTAGCAAAGAGCTAAGGATGGGGCTGGAAGGAATGGGGCTGGAAAGATGGGGCAGGTAGAGTCAGAGCTGGGCCTGGGAAAATCACATGTGGTTTTGGGGTGTGCTGATGTGAAGGGGTAAAGTGGGGAGTTGTGTGGGGAAAGGCACAGGCCCAACCATGGATGCAGGGCTGCAAATATCATTGATTTCCACATGCCTCAGTCTCCCATGTCTCATCACCTCACTCCCTCCCCACCCACAATCTCAGGGAAAAAAAGAGAAAGCAAGCAAGCGATGGGAAAAGTGCCCTGTTGTCAGGAAGGTGAGGGCAAGCCCCTGCTCCCTGCTGTTTGTAATAATTTCCACTGGAACCGCCCTTTACAGGAGATGGGCTGCCTCTCGGCAAGCTCTCATTTGCTGCCGGAGCTCCAGAAGGCAAGTGTCATTACTAACGGAGTGAGGATGAGACTGAGAGGTTAAGAGACTTGACCAAGGTCACACAGCCAGGCAGTCACAGAGCTGGGACTGAAGTCCAGGCTCCTGGATCCACAATGGGTGAGGCTGGTAGCAGGCTCTGCTGCTTCTGCAGCCTCATCTCCCCGTGAGGAACAGAGACCATGGTTAGAGTTCTTTCAACAGCAGAAGGGAGGGTCCTCTAGGGACTGTCAGCCCACCCTGGCTGTATGTAAGGGACCCTCACTGAACCTAACCCTGAGCTCCTAAGTGGGGAGTAGATACAAGTGGGGTACAGGGGCAGAGAACATGAAGAGAAAGGGCTTCTAAGGCCTTAAAAATGTGTTACGTAGAGTTAAAAAACCGTACTTTTGTTCATTTTAGGAAATGAAATAATACAGAAGGGTAAAAGAAGAAAAAAGATGATCCATTAATCCAGTAATCAGAAATAAAACTCTCTCTCTCTCTCTCTCTCTCTCTCTCTCTCTCTCTCTCTCATACACTTTTAACAAAGTGGGATCAGGGCCACTAACATGTTTTTTTTGCCTTAAATATTAATAACATTTGCCCAACCTAATTCTATAGGACATGAATATTCAGGGAGATAACAGATATTACTTGATAAAAGGGTTCCATGAGCCAATCAGTTGGGGAACATTTCGTACACAGAGAAGTATCTTCATTGACTTCATTATGATTCTCCAAATAAGTGAGAGCCTTGGAACTTCTTTCTTGGAACTCTTAGTAGCATTTCAAGGAAGTCAAGTTACATGGAACAGATTTTATAATAAAAGTTATATGTATATATATATTTATAGATATGTGTTTTAATAGATAATATAGTCTCATGATTTGAAATTCAGGAAGTGAAGGACAGAAAGCTTAAAAAGCAACTTCAGCTCTTAAACTTCTCTGACCACAGCCACACACTTGCGTTTCCAGGAGGCAACCAATTTGCTCAGTTCTGTTTATATTCTTTCAGAGACTGTTTATGAATAAACAAAAAAAACCTCTCAGCATCCACATGCATGTTTTTTGATAGCATCATTTTTCACAGTTGCATAGTACTCCCATATAGATGTATCAAATTTATGTACCCAATTCCCATTTTGGGGCTTCTGGCATGCCTCCTTCCTTGCCACCCCTTCCCCCATTACAAATAAGCCTGGAGGAAGAGCTCTGCAGCTGCATCCAGTGTGTGCATCCTCTGCACACCCCAGTGTACACAGTGTACACTGACATGGGCAGTGTGGCCCCTGGTTCAGACTGCCTGGGTTCAAATCCAGGTTTTGTAACTCAGCTTTGTGTCCTCAGGTCACAGACTTAATCTTTTTGCACCTCAGTTTCCTCATCAGTGTCAGACAGGTGATGATAGCTCCTACCCAGTGGGATGATGGGATGATGATGATGACATAATGCGTGCAGAGCCTGGAAGGCATGGAGCATTTAATAAAGGCTAGCTATTACTGTTATTATTATCCATGACTATTTCCTAAGGCGATCCTCCTAAAGGTGGAAACGCTGTGTCAAAAGGGTATGCAATCTTCCTCAGCTCCACACCTTGCCAAATTGCCTTCTGGAAAGGTTGCACTAATTTGCACTCCCACCAGTGAATGATAGTGTCTGTTTTTTCCACACCCTCACCAACATGAGGTATTATCATGTATTTAATCTTCACCAATTAGCTAAGCAAAAGATAACGTCTCTTTGTTGCCTTCATTTGCATTTATTTGATTATTGGTGAGGCTAACCTGCTTGTCCAGAGTGTATCGGCCCATTGTATTTCTTTTTGAATTGCCTATTCTTGTCTGTACTGTTTTTTTCTAGAGGGTGCTCATCCTTTTATTGATCTGTAAAAGTTCTTTATAAATATCAAGCCTATTAACCATTTGCTACAATTTCCTAATTGCCTGCTTCTTACATTTTTTTACAGTTTTTCCCTCTGTGCATGTACATCCCTGGTGTATCTTTTGGGACTCCCACTAACCATTGGATTTTCCAGAACTTCATGACTGGAAGTGTGGCTGAAGCTCTACCTCAGCATACTTCCCCCTATCGGCACTCCACCCTTTGTCTGCTTGCTCTGGGGTCCCAATCCCTCTAGTAGTTCTTAACCTTGAATACTCATAAGAATCAAATGGGAAGCTTTAAACATTATGGAGGTGTCTGGAAAACATCCTGGATATTCTGAAGCAGAACCTGTGAGGGCCAATCCAGGTATATAGATTTTAAAGGCTCCTCAGGGATTTTCTAACTTAAAAATAAACACACACACATACAGGAAAGTGCATGTCCTGAGAGCAGACATTGCTCAGTGACTGTTACACACTGAACACACCTCATACCTCCGAGCTTTGCTAACCCCTTGGTCAAGTGGTGACCTCCATCTAGACGCCACTCCCTTGTTGTGAACTGGGGACACAGAGTGCTCTTTTCAGGTCCTGAGAGGTCCTTCCCCTGCTTGGGGAGCATTGACCTTTGTTGCAGTCCTGAGATAGGGGGGCCCCTGCCCCTACCACCCCTACCTGTGGTCACTTCCCTCCCAATAAGCCAGGGTGGGGACAGGGGAGACACCCAGTGGGAGGAAGCGGTGGTCACTCTACTTGTTTCCCAACACACGGTGAAGACTCTGCACTGAGCTGTGTCCACTGCTTAATGGGGTGGGGGGGGCGGAGGAGGATACACAGAGACTGAACCCAGTTCAGAGGGCCCAAGAACCGTGGGCTCTGAAATTGTCCAGCCACCTATGGAAAGCCCAGGACTCCACTACAGGCCACAGGAGCGCACCCCATCGAGTGTGAGTCCAGTGTGGCCCAGCAGCCACTATATACAGCCTGAACAACCTGCACGACTCACTTGCAGCCCAGGCCTCCGGCCATTCACTCCGCCTACTACATGCCCGGAACTCTTCTGGGCCCTGAGTCCATGGTAGGTAATAAGCCAGACGGTTCTTGCTCTCAGGGAGCCTGAATTTTAGTGAGGCGGATAGGAAATAACCATCAGGAACTGTGAGGCAGTAACAAGCAGCTGGATAAGGCCCTGAGGTGAGAATGAACTTGGTCAGGTCAAGGGACAGAAGAGGCCCATGCAGCTGGAGACAGTGGATGCAGAGGCGCTTAAGGGGGTCTGGAGAGGCAGGCAGGGTCCAGGTGAGTTGTGTGTGGGAACCAGGACAAGAAGTCTGGATTTCTTTTAGCTTTTTTTTATTTTTGTTTTTGGTTTTTTTTGCTTTTTATGTGCCCACGAGAACATTTTGAGTTACATATGTGGATCACATTATATTTCTGTTAGAAGACAAAATCCAAATAAGCCTACATTTGAATGAAGCATGCTGTATTCTTTATGAAGTCTTCTTAATGGCTCCTCAAAAACAATCATCTGAGCTGCTAGCAACCTTGTCTCCTGTACTAGCAGCTGCTAATCTTGGTCCCCTAGTTCATAGCTCTTTGAAAAACAAGGATGGGCATTTTGAAAGGAACTAGGATCCTGAGAACAGGCTGTATTTTTTGATTCAGGAGAATCCCGTGGTGGGAGGGACAGCAGCTCAGGTGGCAGAAAAGAGAACACCCTCTTGAGAGCACTCAGAACAACACCCTAAGGACCTCTGCACCCTCACTCCTGGCCCCTGAGCATCATCAGGCTTCCTGCAGCAAGCACCCTCCAGAAGATGGCCTGTCATTTGTTTCATAGCTGTGATGGGCCTACAAGCTAAGGAACGGCCAGATCTTTCTCTGTGCATTTTAAGTCCCTCCTTCTCCTGAGCCACCATGGCTTCTCTCACTGTGGTTTCCAGCCAATGGAGCCAGTACCAGCCCCTGAGGACCCCTTGGGTAAGGCTCTCAGCTGTTCACACAGTGGTCCTTGGAGGACCTGAAGACAGTGCTATGGGACCTGAAGCTGGACCCGGCCAGCAGCAGCGCCTGCCTGGGCACCCTCTCAGCTGGGCGCAGAATTGTCTGGGTCTCTTTTTCAGCCCAGGGTGCAGAATGCAAAGCCAGCATGAGGCGCAGAGACCTTTGTGCTGTGTCCCAAGAGTGTC